ATTCAAAAATTGTGGAACAAAAAATGTGTTTTAAAAACCCCTCAGAACCAAATCCCAGATAAGAACCCCTTGGTGGATTGGTGACTAAATATAATAATTGATAATTGAAACTAGACTAGGAAGTAAATTGTCCCCAAATGAACTCAATAACCAACCAAATAAGTTATGCGAAATAAAAAACTTGAACTCTTTATTCTTCTTTTTTTTAGACTTATGTAGAATAATTACGATAATTATTATAAGCTTATATAACTACTTTTTGGTATCATATTTACAAACACATTGCTTAATTACCGAATTATTTTCCCTGTGTAGCTTCTATCTGTCACTGGCTATGCGGTAGCCACGCCCTGGTCATGTCGATGCCACCGCCTGTGTTTGGTTTACGTGCTTAAATTGGCAATTAGCAGATTAATTGTCACTGCCAATATATGCGTCAATATTTTGTGCAACCGACAGACAGCAGTTGCAGTTGCAGTTGCCAACTACCATCGCACGTAGTGCGAGTAGTTTGCTTTACGGCCCTGTTGTTTACACAATTGTTGCTCCGTTGCTGTTTGATTTCACTAACGAGCATTAGCATAAATTGCTCCAGTTGAAGGGAGACCATGGACCATATGCCATTCGATATTCGATGCGTCGTTTGTGTGCATCATTTAGCTCTCTGGTCACTGGGAGCCGAAAATGAACGAGAACTGTCAAAATTTTGGGCCATTCGGCAGAGGAAAAGTCTGGTCATTTGAACATTGTGCGAGTCAATCAATTGTAAATTTTTAATGAGTTTTCATTCGACATCGACTGACTGACTGGCCACCAGAGGGATGTGGATGTGGATGTGGCTTTGGCCCCGCATCCTCGCATCCTTCCCGCTCCCCTGACTAAGCAATTTGTCACACTAATTAGCTGCTGCTGCGGTTGGCCGCTAGATGGCGTCGGGCCATGTCACAAATATTGCGCATACGCCACCGCTACCAGGCTGACGGTAAGAGAAGCAAATTGGTTTGTAAATGAGCTGTGGCAAGGCAATCGGTCTTCTATCAATGCGCTTTGCTTAACAGGATGGGTTTGTGTTTTCTCAGGTATTAAACCAAAAATATCAACCAATTTGAAATTGCTTGTCTTTTATTTTAAGCTTAAAAGTAAACATTTCGGCAGAGTTTCGTTCGACAAAAATAATTATGAAATCGTTCGTTATTAATTTTTTTTTTATTTTTAAATCAATCTTAAAAATACAAGTCAACGGCAATTTTTTACTTAAATCCAATTTTGTGTAGTTTTTATTTATTTATTATTATATTATAAATTATTATAAAGGAATTTTATTTAAGAAAATATTTTAACAAAACATATTGTTTCCCAACTTTTTTCCAGAATAAGTAGTATTAAATAATTTATAATTGTAAATTAAAGGCCAATATTTTTGGTTAGGAAGCCAATAAAATGTATACATAAAAACCCAGATATTTTTTGTTTGCCTCAGTTTTTCATTGTTTATTTATTTTGGGGGTATCCTTCGTGCCGAGTATCCTTTTCCGACTGCTTCTGCCGTCTTGTCTTGTCTCCGTTCTGGCCGCAATAATTTCACACAAAATATTTCCGCAACACATCGTCGATGGCAGGTCCTTTGCCACTCCCCCTTCGTCCTCCCTCCTCCGTATCCCGAGGATGTCCTTGCTTCCCCTGCATTTCACTTGACTTCACGTCCTCATCCAGCTGCAACTTATCATTTTATAAGCATTTGTTTTTCCTCTTGTTTCTGTTTTTCTTTGCCTGCTCCTCTTGTTGTTTTTTCTGTGTGCAGCATAACATAATATTTTGTTGCATTTTGTTTTCCCCTGCTTTTCCCCCAGTGAGCACTTTATGTGACAGAGACACTTTAAAGTGTGGCAAAGTGCTCTGTTTCGGCCAGCCATAATATCCTCGATGCTCTCTGGTCACACGCTCCCCTCCTTGAAAAGCGTAGAACGGAGAAGGCCATTCCAAGGCGGAATTAATGCAAAATTATGTGCCACGTAAACTAATTTTTATAAGGGCTACTGGCCTACGATTTACGAGCCCTCGCACTTGCCCGCAATCCTTTCATAACATTCGGCGACCATTTTATTGCCCCGTTTGCTGCCACTTAGGAATGGGCAGCGTGAAAAAAAACCCAAAAAATACCGCGTGGCGCATTAAAATGTTGCCCAAGCATCCTACTCCATGGGCCCCAATTCCCAATGCACTCAAAAAAATATTTATTTAACTTTTAAGTTACTTTTCTTTTAATTAAGATTTTTGTTTTATTATTTATTAATTTTGTATTATTCTATTTTATTTTTTGTAGTTTTAATATATTAATAATATTAATATTAGTAATAGTTGTTGTGGCTTATTTATTTTTTCTTTTTTCCTGTAGCCAGAATACTGAGCCTTAAATTTAAAACTTTAAAAATAAATATTTAGCTAAATATATTTTCTTGAAATATATATATTAATTATTTTATGCACTCATGTAGGCATATAACCTAAAGTTTATATTTTTCGAACTGTAGCTGTTGTTGTTCAAGTTGAAATTTATATTAGGCCAACACAGTCGCCCTGCGAGAGAAGGGTGGGAAGGGGGCTGGGAATGGGGCTGCCTTTGGCGATGGCGCCTGCTCTCAAGTGCTCATAAATTCACGAAAATTTCACAGCCGCCGACGGACCAACAAAATAAAAAGCGTCGACATGAGCAGAGGGGTTCTTAGGGGGGTGGGTTTTTGGAAAGGGGGAGTGGCGTCAGCTGTTGCAGCCCTTGGCCAGAAATCCCCAACCCAGAAACCCACCGCCCATTTGCCCATTTCCCAGTTTCAGCACACACTCGACTTTGGTTTGGCAACATAAATTGTTAAAGAATTGCCACTTTGCAGTCGTAAGGAGCACATAAGCCGGACAAATAAAAACCAAAGCCCTTTTTCCCACGGCTCCCCTAGATCCTTGAGGTGCCGCTGGTCATGCCCGGGAAGCAGTGGAGCAATCAGTCGCAGACCTCGGATTGGATGTCATAAAAATGCCATCCACGAAAAGCAGGGAGCACTTAAAGCTGCGTCCGCGCTGGTTCTTTGTCATCATTATGGCATCCAATTTGTACTCAATAAAAGCGCCAATTCAACCATGATGAGAGCGATGTCCTGCCAGTGAGTCCTGCCAATTGGTTTCCATCAAATGTTACATGTCCCGAGAATGATCTACACCGATAAAAAGAAGTGATAGAATATTCTACGATGCTAGAATCGTATCAAGTTATAACACACAAAAAAATAAGATCAATATCAATTTGATATTATAATGTGAACATGTCAAACTAAACATTATGTAAATACATAAACGCAAATTCTTTAGAACACTTATATTAATTAATATCAACTTGATATTTGTAGTATTGAGTTTTATATATGAATTTAGTGAATATAGTAATGTTACTATTTCGAACTACACATGAATTCTTTTGCATAATGAGAATGCGAATTCTTTAGAACCCGTATTTAAAATATCAATATTTCAAAAACATAATGGTCGAATTAAGCATTTATATCTTCTAATGTATCATTCTCGTTCTTCCATTATAAAATGGTAAATATTATAGGTTTATGGAAATATTTAAATTTTATCTTCGTATTTTTTTTCCGGTATACTGGACCTGCCAATCCACTGAAGGATGCTGCAATTTTCGGCCATCCAGTTGGTCATGTGTTATCTTCTGTGTGTCCAAGGACCATGTCCAAGGTCCGAGGTCCGTGGATCCTTGCATGTGAAGTGCCGTGATTTATAAGCGCTTTGCCGGCGATAACACAAGTGGGCTGGGCCAGCAAACAATGGAAAGGACGAGAGGACTTTTTGGATAGGATGCAGAGGAACTCACATGCAAATTCCACATTCCGCATCCACGTCCTCACAGGACCTTCTTTCAATTTTCTTTGTACGGTTTTGCGGTCGCTTGGCTTTCCGGCAAATTTTTATCTCAAGTTTCGGGTGCGGCCCCGTTGACAATAAAAATGGCAATAGGATGGCGGAGGCCATCGCAACCGCACAAATGCCTTTTTCCTCCTCCTTTCTCTCTCTCTCTCTGTCGCCCATATCATTAATTTTGCACAAAAGGACGAAATGTCCTTTTGCCAAGTGCAGAATTGGGGAGACAAGAGGAGCAGGAGGTGGAGTTCTTCGGACGAACCAGCAAATAAATAAGGCAAGCAGCCGGACTTTGTTGTGCATTGGCAGCTTCTGCGGTTGGGATTGCTTTGGTTTTACACTGTAAAAAAAGGGAGTCAAAGGTTTTCACTCAGTTATCAGCCGATTTTGAATTTTTTAAATCGGACCATTCATTCAAAAGTTATGAGCAAACATTTAAATAGCCGCTAGATGGAGCCATCAAAAATGTCAACATATTTCCATCTCTCTTGATTAATTATTAATTTTAAACGTTTAACCAATTTTTCCAAAAGAAACTTTTAATTCATTGATTATTTACAATAATTTAATTTCAGAAACTTACCTTTACATACTTTTCTTAAATTTTTAAAAATTGTATGTTCTAAAATTTTTATTTTCTTGCTGTGTAAATGGGTTTTTCGATGAAACTGTGGTTGAGGTCAAGCAAAAAGAAGAGGCTGCAACACGTTCGACATTTTGTGGTGCTCATGCTGCGTTGGGTTTTGCCAAATTGAAATTGTTTTGCCAAAACAACGGCCCATGGCAGGCAACTAAAGGAAAAGGACCCCTGATTGGGAGGTATAGATAAAATATATAAAAATAATACCGTATTCTTGCCAAACCACATATCTATTTAATTAACAAAAGACAAGACAAACGAACGAGCCCCTTTTTTTTAAATTTCAAATCTTAAACCGCCACTGTGGTGAATAGTGACCGGAAATGTTGCCATCTCGTTGGAAAAACATGATAAGCAAAATGTGGTGAGCACAGGCCTTTGAATTTATATCAAATCCAATCGAAACTATAAAATATATTTTGTTTAGGTTTTTGAATTTTAGGGAACACAGCACATGCCGAAATGTCTCAAGCGGAGCCGAGTTCCTCGAGATTGCCCTCGGGAGCAGAGGCTAGGATTGGAAAAAACTCCAAGGAACGAGTTTCAAAATCGGCAGGACGCAACAGCAAAATGCGTCGCCAATTTCAATGCTGCATTGCCAGGGAATGTAAGATTACAGGGTATTTGGTATAGCAGGGTATTTAAGTTGCCTCCTGTGTCGCCTGCTTGCAGACTACAGTGAGTACTCGAACATGGTGGAATCGCTGCACATCACGCCGCGAATGATGATCCACCACAAATGCTTTAAGGTCAATAACACTTACGGGCTGTCGCTCAACATTAAAAATACAGGATTGGTAAGTGAACAAAATAACACAAAATATTTTAATTTTTCTTTGAATTTTATTTATTTTTTATATATTTTGTTAGTTTTTTAGTGCAATCATAACATTGATAAAATTATATATTCTGAAACAATAATTTTTCCGGTTATAAGAAATAACTAATTTAAATTATTAATATTTTATTCATGAATATATATTTGCAGTATCCCCGTTTGATCAACATAACCACCGACAGTCCCGAAGATACGTCCATTTCCATACCGGAACTGGAGCTACATCGCTACTTGGACACCGATGAGTCCGTGGAGGTTAAGATCTGGATCCGAACCACTTCCAAACGAGATATCAACAGACGACGCCACATCCTGGTCGAGTGCTTTCACCCAAACATCATCTTCCAAGTGCCCATAATTGGTATCCGCTTGCTATTAAAATTAAACCATGTTCTTAATGTTACTTTTTTCGCAGTTTTGGACAAGCTGAAATATCCCTCGATCAGCGACACTATTACCTTTCCCAGCTGTGTGCCCGGCAACAAGACCCATTACGAAATGATCATCTACAACCCCACCAAAGATCGCGTTCGAGTGCGATACAGAAAGTGAGTATGGCATTAACTAATTTCAAGGCCTAATGCTCTATGAAATACGGGTCGAGGGACCAATTTTTCTTTCTGGGTTTCTTAATATGTATTAGAACTTCATAATATCCTTCTGCAGCACCAATCGGGGTTTGGAAATCAGTGACAATAATAAGGATATTTTGCCGCCCAGGGATTATGCCAAGCTTTTTCTAGTCATCCAGCCGAAGAAGCTAAATGTCTACAGGGGATTCTTCAACATAAAGTTTGGAGTGTGTAAGTATACCATCTTTTATAAATAGATTAAGGATATGTAATCCATTCGCAGTGCCCCCAAAACCCGTAATGTTTGTCTTCACGCCCAAGTCGATGGCCGTGCACCTGAATTTGGGAAGTGTGGTCTTCGGAATGACCAAGTTTTCGCGTGAGGAAGTGCGATCGGTGACCGTGTGCAACGAGACCACGCACGAAGTGATGATCTCTGGGCAGTTTTACACGGAACCAACTACCACAGTGGTGGATAGAAAGGATAGCGATAGTCTCGATAAGGAAGAAAGGCTATCCAGCAAACTGATCGAAGATGCCGTCAGCATGCACAGCATCCTGCTTTACGACTTTGAGGAGCACAGGAGTGTTCAGGATGTTCGGATTGATGCCGAGGCGGTGAAGCACTTTGACTTCAGTGTGCCCACCCGAATCTCGGCGGGAATTTCGACCGAGATCAGGCTGGTCTTTCGACCCAGCTACGATGCCAATAATCCCTTTTCGGATGAGGTGGAGCCACCGTACTTTCAGCGTACTCGGGTCACATTTTGCTTCAGCGACGCCGAGGAATGCATTGAATCGCACAACATCATCTTGTCTGGTTTAATCGGTGGCATCGACATGGAGTTCCATCCGAAGGTGGTCGACTTCCGGAAGATCTACCTGGGCGAAGAGCACTGCGCCCAGATCAAAGTTCTCAATGTTGATGGTGAGAATATAATAAAGATTTTAATATTATTTTTGATGAAACAATCTTTTTCCACAGATGTGCCTGCCAAAGTGGTCTACAAGGATTGCTCGGAACCGGATGTTTGTGGCATTCGGGTGACGCCCTCTGAAGGCTTCCTGCTGGAGCCCTGCACCCGTGGCATCTTCAATGTGTCCTTCTACTCCTTGTTTCCCGCCCGTTTTCAAAACACGCTGCGTTTCAAGGTGGAGAATGGAGCCCACTACAAAGTGTTGATCAAGTAACTATATGGATTAGTAACCTTCCATCACCATGGTTTAAAAACAATCATATTTTTTTAGAGGCACAGGACAGCCGGTGCAACTGCGCACCTTTCCGCAACTGGTGGAGTTTGGGAGCATTCCCATTGCCGTGCCCCAAAAGCGTTACATGCTGCTCATGAATCCCCTGGCGGTGCCCATTACGCTCCAGGTGAAGGCCACCGATGATGGTGAAGAAACACCGCTGGTACTCAATATACGCAACTCCACGGAGATGCTGCCCATCACGGTGAGGGATCCCATACGACATCTGCAGCAAGTGCACGAGGATCTGCAGAATCAGGAGCCAGAAGAACACAGGGAGATCCGTCTCACGACCACCGAGTCAGAGATTCTGTCTATGAAGTCGGTTAAAGGAAGCGAGTCCGTCTACAGTTTGGAGTTTGAGGAGGAAGTGATGGGTGAGGCTTAAGATTGCTTAAGATAAGCTTCAAAAATATCGATATTTTCGATATTTTCACAATATCGTATCGATAATATCGATTTTTTTCAAGGATTATGTTATGTTATGATAAAAGACAGAAAAACATCGATGTTTCCAATTAAAATTGATCTTTGAAAAATTTCGAAATTATCGAAATGTCGATATTTTTCAAGCTCTACTTAAGAATGATGAATGATCACACACATCAATGATCTTTCTATTTCCCTCGTAGAACCCATTCCACAGATGGCCGCCCATCTGCTGACCAACCTGAAGAAGCAGAAGATCTTTGACAAATCGGAGACGGATCGTCGAGTTATCCAGGAGGCACTAATGGGTCTGCTCAACACCAAGTATTTCTCAGTATTTACCAAGCATAACAACTACATATTCATGGACTGGAACGCTGTGCCCAGCGATCCGAGAGAAGTGTTCTGCGACAATGAGATAATCTATTTGCGTCCAAACACCGGACGCAGCATCACCATCCTTTTGGTGCCCAACAAGGTGGGCTACTTCCATCGATCGCTGTCCGTGCGAATTTGTCCGGCAGTGTCGACCTCCTCCATGGATCCTTCCAGTGATGATCATCCCATTATGAAGACTCTTGTGAAGTCAGAGTTCCTCTGCTCGAAACTGTGGTTTGAGTACAACTGCGTTGTTCCCGAGATTTTGTGGTCCAACCTGGTGGACCTCTCACATCGCACCATTTATGCTGGCGAGGACTACGACTTCGAGATGACCTTTTCCAACCGCTCTATCATAGGCGCTTTTATTCACTATGATGTCATTGTGAGTAACCTCTCAAATTTCCCAACATTTGGTCCTTCGAGCCGGATCTCGTACTCATCATCTTTGATTTTTTAACAGCCCACCGACATGACCTTTCGCGATGGCACCTGGAAGTTCTTCATTGACGGCGGATCGGAAATAACTGCCAAATGTGCGGTGACCTTCCGCTCGCTGGGAAGCACCCGTCTATCTGGTCTGGTCAAAATTGTAGGCGCCAATCGACCCTATGCTTTCCATCTCTTTGCCAACGTTCTGCCCACGGAAATTAGGGTTACGCCGATGTACGTTCACAAGCGCCTGCAGGTCTACGAAAAGAGCGTGGTGCACTTCTATATCGACAACTATACGCCCACGCACACCAAACTCAGTATGAGACTGGTAAGAGTCAGATATTTTAGATAAATATCGATGTTTTAAAAGTATTTTCGATAAATATCGATGCTATAAAAATATCGTAAATATCGATAATGCCTTTTTACCTTATTTCTGGTTCTAAACTAACACCTCTTTTTAAATCTTCCTCTTAGAAAGACATAGAATACCAGTATCTGACATTGAGGGGCGGAGCCTTGGCCTCTTCTGGACAGAGCATGTACACCACCCTGGTCTCGTTGTTCACGGATCCCGATCTGTACCAGAACACCCTCTATATAGATCTGCAGTTTGACAATGTGATGATGCTGCCCATCACGTTTCTGGTGGAGGGAGTACCACTCTATTTTGAGCCCGATATCCGAAAGGGTTTCGATGCCGGACTGCTGTACACCGATACAAAGGAGCAGTTCCAGGAGAGTTTCTACCAGCACCGCTTTCCCATTCGGGTGATCAACAAGGGACGTCGTGCCTACCGGATTCTCATTATCCGATTGAATACCTATGGCCCGGGGGCCAATGTGACATCGGGGTGCTCCACCAACGCCCTGACCTCGCGATTCGACATGGAACCGAAGAACCTCTACATGTCGCCCAGTTGCGAGAATCAGCTGGAGATCATGGCCAGCTCCTATGTGGAGGGACACGCCACCGGCGACTTTCTGCTGCAGGTCATCGATCAAAAGTACCCACAGCGAAAGCACATCATAAGGATCAGGGCCTCGGCAGAGTTTGTGGACTGTCAGCTGACTTGGATTCCCAAGCAGGTAGGTAACTTTTACTTCTTTATCTAATAAATAGGGGAATATTATAGAAACAATCGCTAACGATTTAACATAACTTCATAAAGATTTAAAAATTAAATGGTTTTGCAAAAAACTTGGTGATATATAATAAAACAATCTTTCCATTAGTCCCTTTAAAGAATCAAATACAGTAACCTTAAAATATTAAAGTTTTTATTTATTTTATTTTAAATATGATGATTTAAGACACTACATAACTAATATTCTTAGATAAAAAACTCTTAATTTATTAAAATTATTCTTACACATTTTATTTTAATCAGGTTTACATTACTCTTACATTAAATCTTATAGGTAAACTCGCCTCCAACCTTTTATTTTATTTTAATTACCTCATAGATATTCTGTCGATTAAACCCATTTCTTAATTAATATTTTTTCATTTAAAATTCCATAATTAATATTCTTTAGATATAACTTTAATTAATTCTATATTAATTAAAATGTTACCTACACATTTTAAAACATATTTTAAGATCATGTTTAATTCCTATAAATTCCTATAGGTAAACTTCAACTACAAGCGCTGTGAGCCCTTGAAAGAACGCTCCTATGTGGAAACGCCACTGCTGGTGAATCCCTGCTCGGTGCCCATCCACGAGGTAACGCTCCAGGAGACGGGCCCCTTTAGGATCAAGGAATACTACGAGCACTCGTACGAAAAAGAGATTCAGATCAGCCTAAATGGCGCAGAGCGAAAGGAGATCTTTGTGATCCTCAATAGAGGAGCTTTAAAGCCTCTACTGTGCCGCCAAATCGAGGGTAGAATCAATGTGATGGCGATGGGCAGGCAACTGAAGTCACTGCCCCTCCGAGTAGCCATAATGGTGCCGGATGTGGTGATCCTCCAGCCGGAACTGGTCCTCTTCGATCGCGGCAAACCGTACGATAGTAGCATCAATCTGGTCAACCAAGGCTGCATGCCAGCGGAGTTCAAGTGGAGAAGGCTGGAGACCACCGAGGTGTTCGTGAGCGACGAGGATGATCCCGATGGCATTGCAGCCGATATCCTTTCCGAGATTCTGCGCATGCTGGAGTACGATTTCAGCTGCGAGGATCAGCCGAATATGACCAAGAGATACCAGGAGTGCCGCTGTCAGTTTCGTCGCTTCGAGGAGCATGGCGATTTTATAATGGAGATTTTAGAAGAGGTCATCAACGAAATGGACTTGAAGCACAGGCCTCTTCTTTACCCGCCCAAGGATCCTCCCGAGGATCAGCAGCAGGAGGAGGACAGGGATCAGAGCTCGTCGAGCGTGGTGCGGGAAACCATTTCGGACATCCTCAATCGCCTGCATCTCGATTCCAGCGATCGGTGGTCGGAGGCCTCCTCCGAATACTGCTTTGCCAGTCGGTACATCTACTTTTACGAAAAGCGCGGTATCGTCGAGAATGCGGATCTGGAGTGCAAGCTCTATCTGCCGCACATCCGACGGAGCCACGAGATGCGATCGGTCTTCGAGTTAAGCCTCCTGGGCGGACGAAGTCAGCGATTCACCGTCACGCTGGTCAATCTGCCGCAGAAGATCAAGTTCCACAAGGACAGCATCTACATGGGCATCAAGGTAGGTTTTAAATTAGAGTTTAAACCACTTAATTGGATACATTTTTAAAATAATTCGGGAATTCTTCAGAACTTGTTATAGAATTTATATGAATTTTTTACCAAACAAAATTTTGAAAATCTTAAGAAAGATAGACACTTTTAAATAATATATCAATAGATATTTGTAGAAATATTTTTGTATTTAAATATTATTCAGCAATTAAATTTAGGGGAATTTTCGGAAGAAGAGAAAACACCATGTAAATTAGGGCCTTCCTAAAAAAAAGGATGGTATCGTAGAACTAATAAATTGAATAATTTTTCGAAATAATTCGCAAATTCTTCAGGAACTTTTATAGTACTCTTACTACAATACTACAATTTATTTATTTATTTATATTTTCGATTTCTTCAAATCTTTAGAAAAACAGATCAATCTTAATAATATTAGAGTAGCTATTTTTAAATGTTTAAGAGTTAAATTATTTCTAAATTATTATATAAACTTAATTTTACGGTTTTTAAGGATCTTCTGCTGCTGGTATCTAATAATTAAATATTTCTCCGTTATATCTTATTTTTAGCCCTGGTACGAGTCATTCGATACGACGGTGCGTGTCACCAACGTGACCAAGTATCCCCTCCAGTTGGTTGTCGTCGAGGTGAAGAAGCCGCCTCCAAAGGATCAACCCCACGAGAAGCGTCTGGTAGATGGCTACTGCAAGATGATGACCAGCGACATGATGAACCTGGAGCCACTGGGAGCGAATCAGATCCGGGTGAAGGGCATCCTGGGATTCAGCGAGAGTTTCAAGCACTCCTTTGGGGCGATGATCAACAACAGTGACTCCAGCTACTTTTGGCTGCGCGGACAGGGCGTTATGCCCATGCTGGACATGGTATCCCCGCTGCCAAGCACTCCAATGGATCCGCTGGAGGTGGAGGAGGAGTACCGAATGCTGCAGAGGATCTACCACTACGAGATATTTCGCTCCATCACAGAGGTTGATGAGGAACCGAAACGCGCGGAAGGTGAGGAGGAGAACCAGGTGGAGGATAAGGTATCCATTAGCGAGGATTTCTCCCTGCTCTCCTCCAGCGAATCGGAAATGTCCTCCGATCGGAAGGACCAGCACGATTTGCAACTCTTTCGCATGGTCCACACCTACGTGATGGTCAATAACAACCAGGAACTTCCACATGCCACTGTTTTGAGGCAACTAATACTGGCGGAAAGGTATTTGAAGCGACTCCGTTTGAATCCCGACTTGTATGCGGTGCATCAGCAGGTCTATCAGACCTACCAAAAGATGCACAAGGCTCCGGGATTCAAGCAGCCGGCCATGGTGAAGCACTTCACGGTTCAGCCCATTCCCTGCCAGCAGCACGGCTACGTCCTCGACTTGGGTCCACTGACCAGGAACAGTGTTCGGCGGTTTCAGCTCAAGCTCCACTTCTTCGGACCCGGAAAACTCATTGCAGCCGCTCGCACGGCTGTTAGGATTCCAGGCTTATATGTGGACTTTAACGTTAAGGATCCCAAGCAGTAAGTGTAGGATAGGGAAACTGGTATACAAAGCAGTAAAATGATAGAAATTCTATTAATTAAATAAACATTTTTTGCATATTTTGAAAAATAATATATTTAAGTTCTAATTTATGAATCGTTTCCGAAATTCAATTTAAATTTTTGATTCTTAAATCGAAATATTTTCCTTTTTGTCAAATTCTCCCCTAAAAATAGATCTTTGTTTATAATTATAAATTACTTAAACATTTTTGAATTTCTAACCTAATATTATCGTTTAATATGTTAGCCGTATATTTTAAAAATTTATTGGGGACAGCAATGATTTAAAATTGTATTATCTTATGTGATTTAAATATTATCTTCTTTTATAATTTTACAATTTTTAAAAATTTTTGAATTCATAACCTAATAATAATTTTTTTTAATAGGCCATATGTTTTAAAAATTTATTGGGGACAGCAATAGTTTAAAATTGTATTATCTTATTTGATTTAAATATTATAGCCTATGTTGAGTCAATTAAAAAATAATTTCAATAAATAAAAAAAATACCTTTCCCTTAGTGCCGATAAAAAATTCTCCTTCTGGGCTGAGAAGTGCACGGCGCTCGAGTATTTCAAGGAAAAGTATAGGAATATGTTTGAGCGTCTGCTGGACGCGGAACAGGATCCCAAGCTGAAGCACGCCCACTCCTTCGACCTGGACACCATGGTCAAGCACCAGCGAGATCTGGCGCCCAAGGATCGCCGGCTGATCGAGGAGTACTACAACAGCCTCAATCCCTCCGTTTATCCGGATCACAAGCACCACTTCACCCTGGCCAAGATCTTCTCCGGCTGCCTGTCGAACTATTCCGGAGTGGACGTTACCATGGTCGGATTCTTTAAGCCAGAGTCGCGCTTCTATGTGAAGGATCAGCTGGTGGAGGACTATCTGTTTATCGATGTGAGTAGTTTTTACTTTGGACTGTCTTTATAATTTAATTTTCTATTTTTTAATCCCTAGTTGCACATGGGTCCTACACTTCCCGTTCTTCTAAAAGGCGTCATCGTCGCCTAGGGTTATCTTGAAATTGTATATGCATTTATTGTGGGCTTTCGTTTGGAGCAAATGGGTGGATGGGTGGGCTTCTTAGTCTTATGTGCAGTAAAATAAAGCTTATACGATAGCCCTAGCAATACATGTTGAGTTGTCGGAAAAAATAGTGAAAGATGAGCAGCACGCAGAAGGAACTGGTCACGGGCAGACCAGCCGCTTTTATCCATCCCAAAATGTTGAAGTCGTCCGGGTAGAATTCAAACTGTTCCGTGGGGATTTCGCCGCAGTTTGAGATCACAACTGGCTCCACGGGAAAGTCATCTGTGTCCGTTTTCACCTGGAGTAGAAAAGTAATCAGTAATGGTCTGAAACTTTAGATTTTTGATGGTTTTTAATATAATATTAATTTTGGTAAGAATGCAATAAACTTTGTCTGTAATTAAGTCTTATAAGGTGTAAGCAAAGTTGCAATATTTTGACAAAATATTTTAAAAATTTATACAAAAATATTTATGCTAAAAAATAATTTAACGAAAAGGTGCAAGATGTGATAAATTTATTTTCCAATTTTTCTATTAACATTTTACTGTGATTCCTCAAAAAAGATCTTTGTCATTGTTTTTTTAACTCAATTTAATTTTTTATGATGTATTTTTTACCCAAAATAATGTAATAATATTAAGTTTTTTATCATATTTTTGAAAAAAAAATACATGGAATATTATTTTTTGTACGTCCTATTTCTGTCATATTTAATTTAAAGAGTAAACAAAACACTCTTTAATAAAAAGGGATTTAAATCGAATGTTCAAGACTCAAAATAAATCTTCTATTAAATTTCTATTGATGGGAATACTCACATCCTCGATGGCGTAAATGGTTTCCATTCCCTCCAGCACCTTGCCAAAAACGGTGTGCTTCCCGTCGAGCCACTTGGCGCCCACTGTGGTAACATAAAATTGGCAGCCATTGGTGTCCGGACCGCGATTGGCCATGCCCAGGTAGCCGGGTCTATTGTGCTCCACCTCCAGAGCCTTGTCCTCGTCGGGGAAGTACTCCCCGTAGATGCTAATGGAGCCAGTTCCATCGCCATTGAGGATATCGCCGCCTTGGACGAGGAAGCGGTCCACCACGCGATGGAAACGCGATCCCACGTAGCTGGTTCCGTTGATGCCGCGCAGGCAGATGTGCCGGAAATTGGCCACCGTCTTGGGAGCCAGCTTCCCGAACAGTCCAAAGGTAATCCTGCCCACCGGCTTCTTGTTGTGCTTCACATCCATGTAGATCCGCGACGTCACCGTGAAACTCAGGCCACTGACAACGGAGATTAGGTAGCTGCACAGGATTATCACACTGAGGAACTTCATAGTTGGGCAGTCGAGCAGTTCTCTTGGGCTCTCCGGTCTCAACGCGCTGATGAAATGCACAGAACTGAAACGAAGACTCGGATTTTCGGAATTAGAGAATGTGAAAATAGTGAAAATAGTGGGTCGGAAGCCCCAGAAGTTCCAGGTTAAGTGCAAGCACTGATGACCGCATACCCACCTGAAAACAAATCGATTTTAACACCCGGCAGAGAGTATCTTTGATTTTTTACAGTTTTATGGATTTTAAATTGGAAAAACATTTAATTTAAGCTTCAAAAGAGTTTAAAAAAAATTAAAAATATGCTTTCTTGGATTTAAAAAAAGACTCAAAAATATTTAAATACCAAATTAGTTAGATTTTAAAATTTTACACTCATATAAATTTCTTTCTTTTGTTCAGAAATTTCGCCTTTAAGTGTTTTTGTTTTTAGAAAATTTGCCTTTAAATCTAGAAATTTTCTATATTTACAGGTGATTTTACTAAAATCAAAGGCAATATTTTACAATTTTAGAAGGGAATTTTTATGAGGGCAGATCGAAATACCTATAAATATATTTTTTTAAATATCAAATATTTAAAATATTTGTATACTTTTCTTTTCTTGGTATTACCACTGCTACTTTCATTATAAATAAATCGTACTTTTATGGATGAATATAGTGAATGAATAAAAAATAAATTAATTAATTTAAAAACCTTTTTTAAATGTAATCAAAGCTCCACACAATAAGATCTATTCTGCCAGGGTATTAATAAGATCGACTTTCCCTTTTGTCATTCAAATAATAACTACTTTACGTTTTTTCATCATATGACTTGGTCTTTAATTGTATAGTTATAAACTTATAAATACGTAACTGTATGAATAATCCGAATAATAAAGAAGTTAGCGAGAGGGGCATACAAAATTCGAATGGAGCCTTCGGTAGATAAGTACACAGCAACAATATGCTGCCAAATCTTAGACTAAATAACTTAGGGATACGCTGCCTCTACACGAAACTATACCAAATACATATATATACACGCTTAGATTAACTAACTAGCGTAGCGGCTAACCTGGCTACAGTCTTCATGGGGGATTTCTCCTTTGTGCTTTGCGTCTGAGATCTATACAGCTGAATCTTCCGCAGAAGATTCGGGCAAGTCCTACCGCTTCTTCTGTGGATGCACGTACTTGCAGTTCTTGCCCATGTTGCAGTGGCCCCGCATGAATTGCTTGCAGATGCCGGTGTTTCCACCGTTGCCTCCTCCTCCTCCTCCTCCTCGATTGGAGCCAGATCCCGCTGACCGCCAGTTGCCGCCGGAGTTGTCCTGGAAATTGTTTCCCCCGCTGCGCCAGTTGCCTCCATTATTTTTGTTTCTATTATTATTGTTGTTCCTTGGTCCTCCGCCGTTTTGCATGGGTCCACCAGGTCCCATTCCATTCGGCGGTCCATTCATCATCGGCGGCCCGTTCATCATGGGACCATTGGGTCCCATCACTGGGCCATTGGGTCCCATGCCGGGTGGTCCCGGTCCCGGGCCATTCATCATCATTGGTGGGTATTGATTGAAGGGCGGCGGACCGCCTCCGAATGGCGGCACTGGACTGCCAAACTGGTTGCCCATAAAGTTCTGCGGCGGCGGCGGCATGTTGTTCATGCCGCCCATGTCCATGCCAGGTGGACCGCTCATCATGGGCGGGGGACCACCGGGGCCCATTTGATTCTGCCAGATTTGCGGGGGTCCGGGTCCCGGCGGCATGCCCTGTGGAGCCGGCAGTCGTCCCATGAAGGGATCAAAGGGATTCTGCATCATATTGGGAGCGCCTCCCAGTCCCTGCATCATGTTGTCGCCGAATCCCATGTCGGATCCGCCATTACTCGCTCCTAATCCCGCGCTGGGTGCATATCCCTTGGGCTCGGGCCAGGCCAACGTACTATAATCATTGACAGCATCTGGATTTCCGGTCAAATCATCCATGGGAATCACGGGAATGTCGTGGGCAAAGTGCGGCTCCAGTTCCGCCTCCGCGGCGCTGTCGGGAATCATGTCGGGTGAGAAGTAGAGAGCACGTAGAGTGGTGGCCTCCCTGTCCATTTGCACCTGTCGCTGCTTGGAGAGATTGCCGTTCGGATGGTCGGGCACATTGTCCACTTCGATCAGAGGACGCCACTCCATTTGCGGCTCCATGGTGTCATCGAATCCACGCCGAGCGATGGTCAGAGCATCCCGTTCGCTGAAACGCTCCAGGTTCTTCATCTCCAGGAACGTCTGCTTCATCACATTCACGCGCTCCGATCGATCGACCTCGAAGTAGCGGATCTGGGTAAGTTTATCCTCCGGCTGCCAGGTGAGCTTCTTCTTCGGCCCCTTGCGGCGATGGAGCATTAGGACGCCAGGTGGTCCGTCGGGTCCGCAGCCGGGACCGGGTTTCTTTGGCTCCTCCGGCAGATCCTCCGCCGTATCGGAGGTGTTTCCCGCTTCGCTGGCTTCTCCCGCCGCCGCCTTCTCCTTCTGCACCTTCTGTTCGATGTCCTCCTTGACCCGCTTCAGCGGAATATCATCGTCATCGGCATCCGTGTCCTTGCCAGGCGATGCTGAGCGGGCGTCGTCGTTCTCCTTGCTGCTGTCGTCCGACTTCTCCTCCGACTTTGACTCGTCTAGCGTGTCCTGGTAGAACTTTAGAGGCGCCAACGGTGCATCCTTGGACGTGGGCGATGTGGCGGAATTGGGTCGCTTGCGCTTCACCACCTTCTTCGGTTCGATGGAGGCGGCCAGGGCGTCCGAGAACAGATTGGTCTCCACCAGGGTTGTAACTGGAATAAAAAAGGTAATAAGTAATTGCTCAAGTAATTGGTTTGTTTAATAAATGGTCTCCTTTGAATCATCGCCCAATTGGTGGTTTTTGCTTTTGCTGGAAATTAAGGAAAGTAAATAAATTAACCACCCACTAAATAACCCACAAAATAGTTTTACTAATTGGGGTCTTTACTAGAGTAAACATGCCAAGGCTAATTGAACCCAAGAGCATGGAAAACCTGCCTTTTTATTATTATAGTTCAACATTTTTCTTTAAATGGCAAGGGAAACCTTCTTAATAGGCAGTATTTATATTTTTTAAGTTATTATTAGAAACTTAAACTTAAAATAAATATATCTCATGTTAACTGAAATGATCTCATAATTTAAAAAAATGAAATTGGAGAACCGAAGGTAAAAGGTTTTTGAGTTGTAAAATTATTTACATTTTCTTTTATTTATTCAAAAATATATTTTATTTTGAAAATCTTTAAGACTGCAAATGTTTCAATATTAATTATTTTATTTGGAAACTAAAGAAATAATTTAATTTTTAAGTATTTTATAAGGAATGTTCAAAAATCGTTGTTTGTCATTGTGTTAGATTAAAAGGGGTTTCAATTCTAATATTTTAATGGTTTTATTATTATAAAGTGTTAAATGGACAAAGCTCTTTAAGTTCAAAATTTTAAGGCACTTTTTTTTTTAATATTGTGTACATTTTGCAGCCTATAATCTCACATAGTAAACAAAAATTACAGATTTACTTAAGCAAATCATAAAAAAAACCAACTACAAATAAACACAGCGATCAGATAACGCTCATTTCGTAGATCTGACGCATCCACCGGCTGGTGCACTACCAAGTCGAAATGGGTATTCCCTTCTTATCTAACGAGGCAAACCAGTATGGCGACCCTCGGGTGACGCACGACCTGGTGAAAATCGAGGCCAATGGCTGGGTGGGGGATTGGGATTCGTGCCCACGGGTGGTAATGGCGATCCGATTGATCCACCTGCCAAACTTCTAGAACCGCCAGCTCAAGTCAATATTCTCTCGTTTTCAAATTCTTTTTTTATTCAATAGAAAAATCGTATTTTTCTAGAGCAAACCGTATTTTTATTTGTAAGTTTTTGGTGGGGCGGCTACTTAGGCCAAGTGAATCTACATACCTTATAGCTAAGCTAAGCTAAATACGTTCAAGATTTCAGTTTTTTTGGTTTGTTGGATACTTAACACCAAGCGGCAGCGGCGGCGTCGTCTGTGCCCCAGATTTCTTTCTAGTTTTCGGCGGTCTCAGCGCATGCGCAGTGGCCAAGAGATTCCAAGGACCGCGACATCATCACAGGGTTAATTTACAGTCTCGATCCGGGGATATACCACTCGAATTGCGAGCAATTCGTATATAATAATATATGTAAAAATGCAAAGTATCCCCACTGCTGCTCTCTATTTAAATTTAAGACCCGCCCCAAGCAAAATTAAACACCTTGAGGAGAAAAGTGTGTGAGAGAGATCAACAAATAATACGGCGGAGTTCGAGACTTTCGATACTCCGATCGATACAACACAAAAGCAAAAACCACCAAGTTCTTCGAGGGCTGTGAAATAGATAAGAAAGAAAACCATTAGTAGGGTTTCTCGGCACAGAATGCTTACTTTTTTTGGGCGCTATCAGCTTGGCGGCTCCAGGCCGCTCCACATGTCCCGCGATGCTGTTCATATCGATCTTGGCCTTCTTCTCGGTGGGCGAATCCCGGGGCGGCGGCGACGGGCGCTTCATTGGAGGCGGTACAGCTAGCAGGGCAGGAGGCGTGGCACCCGAAACCGTCGTCGACGACGACGTGGGTTTCTTGAGACCCTTTCGCGATGGCGGGGGCGGCGCCTCTTCCGTCAAACCATGCGATCGGAATTTCGACTGGTACGTCTTCACCGTCGCCGTCTTTTCCGTGTCCCTTCGAATCTCTATCGAAATGGAGGCCTTTCTGGACATGATGGGTATGGATCTGGGCTTCTGTGCCTCAGTGGGAGATGGGGAAGTGGTGGCAGTAGTAGGAGCCACTGCTGGCGGAGGCATTAGCTTGTTGTCTTTGTCCTTCTCCTGCTTGGATGAGGAGGAGGATGACGAAGAAGACGAAGACGACGATTTGCGATCTTTAGACGAACTAGAACTAGAGTTCGAGGACGACGACGATGAGGAGGAGGACTTTGACTTGTGTTTATTCGAGGAGGAGGAGGACGAACCGCTGCTGCGCTCGCGGTCCTTGCTCGAACTGGAGGAACCCGAACTGGAGCGAGCCTTGTCTTTGTCCTTGTCGCGGTGCTTATCGCTGGAACTGCGATGGGAGGAGGAGGAGGAAGAGGACGAGGAGGAGGAGGAGCTCTTGGAGGAGCCACTCTTCGAAGAGGAGGAGGATGACGAAGACGACGACGACTTATGGCTAGATGAGGAGGACCTGTGACTCGAGGAACTCTCCTTCTTCCTATCCTTCTCGCGCTCCTTCTCGGACCTTTTACTCTTGTCGCTGCTCTTGGCGCTCTTATGCTTCTTATTATCAACGTCCTCCCCGGACTTAACCTCCGCCGCCGAACAACTATCATCTAAACTGGACCTTTTGCCCAGACTAACATCGGTGGATGCTTGCGCCGCCGTTGCGGAGGACTCGTCTTCCAGGAGCTCCTCCTTCTGGGCTGCTGCCGTAGAATCGGTCTCCTCATCGGGCTTGTCCACCAACGACTTCCACTTGATGGTTATGCTGTTGGAGTTGCTGCTGTTGGCCGCAGAGGTGATGGTATACGTCACGGGTGCGCCGGCACTGTCCGTGCTGTCCGACGAGGAGGCCGAATCCGGAACTACAGCGGCAGCTGGAGCGGGAACAGAGGCTACCGGAGCCACAATCTGTGGCGCAGCAGGCTGGACCATCACGCTGGTGTTCTCAGTCACAATCTTCAGCCACTGCTCAACCAAACGCTTGGCCAGAATGCGTACACCTGGAAAAACGGGGTCGAAAAAAGGCAATTAGTAATCCCCGGGCAATGAAAAATGCGCGAAAACAAGATACGACAAGACTAAACAGGATTGAACATGTCTAAACAAGAGCGAAAAGTGTGCGAAACTCACCTTCGTTGCCGCCATCCTTGCACAGACCCTTGACCAAAATGGGCGCCGAGTTGATCTTCAGCCGATTGACGTCCACGGGCGAAAGGAGCAGCAGCTCCAGGATCTCCTGCACCAGCGGCCAGTTCATCGCCCGGATGGCGTCGTTCAGCCAGGTGTAGACCAGCGACCAACCGCCCACGGCCATAAAGTCGCCCAGCAGTTCCGTTTTGGTAGATTTCAATATTTGTACATAGACACATTTCGAAACGAGTTTTTTTGAATACTTGGCCATCAGTCTGTGTGGGGAAAAACAGAGGTATTAGTAAGAATCCGACAGAGGGCGCTAGTGCTGAACTTACCCCGAAATGCGTTTCACCTCGGCTGCACTCAAAATGCCACCATTGTTGTCCAAGAGCACCCGCAGGCACCTCAGCAATTGCAATGGCACTATGCGAGGCTATTTACATGTAATTTAAAGATTAAATAAAACACGTACTTTTATTATTTGTAACCAAAAACTTACCATTTTCCTTTGTTTTCCGTGCGTGTGGTCTGGCAACGCTCTACGTCCTATTGCCGTCTCTCTCCCACACGTGCTGGTATGACCATACGCGCCCGCGTGTGTGTGTATTGGTACGTGCGTGCGTGTGGCGACGCTCGTCTTTGTTGGTGTGCGTGACTTAATGGATACTAAATTTCCACTGATTACGTAATTCCATCAGAAAAGTATCTAGAAATGGCAGAAAACTTTGGTCTGAGAACGTGTTTTATCAGGACAGAACTATGCTAGAGCCCTACAATTCACTCTCGAAACGAAGATGTTCAAATTCCAACCGCAGGCACCAGAAAATGCGAGATTTGTCTTCTTTTATTGTGAAAAACTGACAGTAAACCAATAATCCCTTCGCAGAAAATTATCTTTGTATCTTTTGAAGAGCAGCAGAAAAACGTGTTCGCGTTGCAATTTTTAGTTTTTTTCTGAGGCACTGGGAAATGCGGACGTGTGTTCGCGGTTATCGGCAATCGATAAGCGGTGCAGCCCTGAGCGCTGTCCACTCTCCAAAAAATCAACAAAAAAAATTAAAATTTCAGCGTATTTTTAAAAACATCAAATTGTTGCAACGTTTGTAGCACGAATGTCTATTAACCTTTTTGTTTGAATCCAAATTGATTTTTAGGACAAATGAAAAGTGAAAGCTACTCAGTTTCTCCTTTTTCCAAGCAGGTTGGCAGCGCCCTGCCACGCACACAAAGATGACGCCATTTTGATTTTCACAATTTTTCACAAATGCGTAATTAGATCCGCAACTAAATGAAATGCTAGAAAGTTGCGTTTCTACAGCAATTACAACAATGTCGGCCACTTGGTATTGATTTTTCTTTGATTTACGCTAGTTAATTGGCTTTGTGCCGATTTCGTTCACGTCCACGCCCCAAAATTTGTGGTACAGCGACTCAATGCGCAGACACTTTGGTCGAGCAAATGTTTAATAAGCCTACCTAACTATATATTTATATACTAGATGTACAATTGTTTAACGGCCTTACAATTTGTTAAATGTTTATTTGCGACGATTTTTCTTTCTCCGAAAATTCCTGCGTGCTTTCAGTTAGGTGTACAAAAATCGTGTGACCCTTTCTGGGTTGTGGGAAAATCGGGGAAAATGCGTTTTGCCGATATTAATATCGATGGTTGGGCGGCCATGTTTTTGACTCACGATAGTATTATCGTGCATTTGCCATCACCCACGAATGTTAGATTCGGTCGTTTTTTAACAGAAATGTTAGGATACAACGCTTTCTTACATTGGCAGACCAGCGGCAGAGGACTAACAGTTCGGTGATTCCTAACATTTCTGTTAAATATTACCTTTTGGTAAGATCGATATTTTGTGATTATCACGATAGTAATATGAAACCAAATTTCTTGACGTTATTTTCATATGCAGTTTTCTTTTTGACGACTTTTTGTTAGGTTGAGTACTAGCCTTAACTGCTGAAATTTTCTGATTAATTTTCAACAATTCAGCAATTCAACAGATTAGGGAATACCCAGTATGTTAAATTGTTAAATACTGAATTTGTGGAAAATTCAACAACCAATTTCAGCAACGAAAGGAACGATAATAATATTTTGTATAATTGGTCACTGACTTAAAAATATATTTTTGTAAATTAAATAAGGCATGCTGTTACAGAGTCGCCATGATTTTAATGAAATAAGCAGGTACCGTAATCATTATAAGTGAAAAAATAAAAATCTCCATTTAATGATTATTTTGTGAGCGAAAAATCGATATTATTTCGCTTAAAAATATCACTCAAAGTGCGATTGCAGCCGTTCTGTACGAAATTTTACAAAGTTTTAAATTTCTGCTTGTAGGTAGAACCACGGAGCACACATCGAGTTAATTAAAGAAGGAGATTTCTTTATAAACTTTTTAAAACCCGGTTTTTAGTTTACAAGAGGTATGCATAAATACAAAAAGTTGTATCAACCTTACGACTTTATGTCATTTATATATAAGTAAAATGACTTAAGAAGATGGTATGAACTATTCCGATGATTCCGGGGATCCCTGGTGTACTTCTTAAGGTTTCCCACCACAAACGATTCTGCAGAAGCATCAACGTCATTTAGAACTTTGGGTGTGCCCGGAGGAGCAGGATAGGTGCTTGGATCAGCCGCCCGGTGAAGGGATGTAGAGCCAGCTTTTTCGACCTAAAAGAGCAGATGTTTTTAGTGATTAGAAGGCAGTTTTCAGAAGGTTAAATTATTTAACCCACCGTTAGTGTGGCGCTGTAGTGCAGGTATATGTTCCAGAGATCTAAAGGAAGATCAAAAGTTAATAAATGGAAAGCCAAGCCCACACTGTACACAAAAATTATAAAAAATTATTTTGAAAATTTTTTAGTCTCTTGAAATTGCTGGTGGTTCTTAAAAGGACCTTTTATGCGATGATGATGATGATGATGATGATGATCGGATCAATTTCCAATTCGTCCGGAAATGTGGGCAAAGGTCACGAATGCTTTAGAGAAAAGCTCTTCAGCTTGCGCTTTGAGGGCAGACTTAGAAATTTCTTTCTCCAGTATTGCATTGGCTAAACTCCTCTTCCAGAATTTTCCAGTCCTCTCCAGGTACGCATTCGTGGCGAAATGTGGGCGGAATTCGTCCTCCGTACAGACCTGAAAAATTTTTTTTGCAACTACCGCAAGCGTCTTGATTTGTTCTTGGTTAATCTCTTTGTCGTTTTTGGCAGACGCTGAAGATGAGTTTCGTTTTAGCAAATTAGTCGTAGTTTCAATAACATTTTTTCGTCCGAAAGTGGTGCCGTATGCAAGATCCATGACGTAATCTAGATGCAAGTGCACGTCCTGCAAATGCTTCAAATCATACAGCCACGGAACTCTCGAAACTTGTTTTAAAAAGTCATTGCCTTTATAATTGTCGCTAATTATAGCCAAGCATTTCTTCAACATGTCTTCCTCTTTAAAAAAAGAAATAAGTGCGATTAAAATCGGCCTAACCCATTTAATGTCCGCCGCGATTTTTGATGTTCTCAAGTATATGACTTGGAAGTCTCTTCCGTCGTACGAAGACATTGCGAAAATCAATGCCCTATACAGAATGCGGTTTTTTCCTTTTGTTGGAATCTGAAAAGAAGAAAAAAGGAAAATGTCCTAATTTTTCAAAGGGTGCTAATGGGTTAAGAACATTTTTGGGTCATTTAAACGGAATTGAAGTGCTCTTTCTATAGGGGCCAAAAGTTTATATTAAAAGTTCAAAATGTGAGTACAATTAACATTCAAATCTGTCAAAATAATGTGAATATGTGCTCCGTGGTTCTACCTACAAGAGCACATTTAAATCTTTGTAAAATTCCGAGTATGACCGATGCGATCACACTTTGAGTGATATTTTTGAGCGAATTATATCGCTCACAAAATAATCATTATTTCTGAGCGATATTTTTTTTCGCTTACAAAATAATCATTATTTTCGGTCCCTGGAAATCAAAATCTCCCAAGTGGGCCACCCCTGATTCGAATGTCAAATTTTTGTCAAACTTGTTTACTTTTCCGGTTCACGACACAAAATAAACTTAATTTGAACGGGTTTGAGAAATTTTGAGTTTCAACGAAGTTATAGGGATCACAAAATGCGTTTTTAGCACTTTTTTTAAAAAAGGTGCACTCACTCCTTTTGATATAGCTTTGTAACCGTAAAAGATATCTTTATGATGTTTTCAATAATTGATAATAAATTGTATTGGCTTGTAAAAAAATATATATTTTTTTAATTTAAAGCATGCGATGGAATCGGAGGGACCGCGAAAAGACATGCCTATCGATCAACCCTGCAGGACAATCTAAAAACTTCGCCAAAGCTTCTGTATGAGTGGGCCAAACAATTTTATAAAAAAATTGAGTTTGAGTATTTCACGAAGGATCAGCACTTTGCTCATGACGAAGAAATTAAACCTCGGTACGTTTTGATAAAAACGGTACCCATTAAAAGACACTACAACCATTATATCCCAATCGACAACAGTAAAGTAGCATGGAAAATATTTTCCTTTAATGTCTTTTCATGAATATTTAATTAGTATAGAACACCTGATAAAAAGCCATTCATAAGTTTTGGAAACAAATGTATAATACTGTTTTCTTCGTCCCTTGTGCATAAACAAACATTAAAAACTTTTTTGCGTCAAAATGGAGAATTTACGAGAATCAAGCGGTGCACCGGTACCCCGGCTGGAGGCTAAATGCCCCAGGTTCGCCTATGGGACAGAGACCAAGTCTCAGATAAAAAAAGGGCAGGAGCAGATGAAGGAGGTGTAGGCGGAGGTACAGAAAGTACAGATGAGATGTATCAAAAAGGCGTTTTTGGATGGCTTAAAAGCCAAACCAGCAGCGCCATCAGCGACAGTGTTCCAATGGTCATCCGCGGAACTTCCGGCCTAAAAATTTCTGAAAAAGCCGTTGACGGAAGTGCTGGCGATGGTGGGAAGTAACACCACCTACACCTGCGTGGCACAGTGCGGCCAGAAGACGCTCTTCTGTGAGGTCTCCGTAAAGGTGCCGGGCGCGCCTTTATCGCCTTCGCCTTCGACAGGCACGGATCCAGCGCCAGCCGCAGCCGCTGTAGATCCCCAGGACCGGCAGTCGCCGCCTTCATCGCCTTCGCCTTCGACAGACACAACGGATCCAGCGCCAGCCGCTGAAAAGGCCCAGTCTGTCTCAAGCTCTCAGAGTCCGCGAGTGCTAAAATGGATTTGATGATGTGATTGATGTGATGGAAGTAACAATAGGGGAGGAAGAAGAGCAGATCAGATTAGACAATCAGCCTTCTACCAGTACTTCGTATACTCCGTATTTCGGCAAGTCTCAGCTGGTAAAATCTGTCGTAAGTCAATATAATCACAAATATCTAATAATTTTAACAATCCAACTTTTTATTTGCAGTACGGAAAACCATTTTTCCACATTTGTTGCGAGTGTGGAGAAATGCACGGGAGGCACCCCCCCACCGGCAAAAGCCCCTGCTGTGGGGGGGGATGTGGAAAAAGCGCGCCGAGCAAGCCTTTCCTTGCACTTGGTGCTGGGCTTTGTTTATAAGCCCAGCCCAAGTAGCCAAACCCAGCTGCGCAGAAGTTCTGTCATGCTGTGTTTGCAAGGAAAGGTTTGTCTCGGCGTCGCACCAGTGGAACCACATGAAAATACACAAGAGACCTCACACGAAAATTGTGCCAAATAAACGTGAATATATTAACATTTTTTAATATTTTTATTTATATATATATTTTTTTTTAATTTTTCATCAGAAATGCGGCAAAATATTTCACAAAATGGGCTACCAGCTGTATCTTCCATGTATGTTTGTTTTGAGTATGTTTTTTTTTTTTTAAATTAACATAATTTGCATGCATTGTTTTTACTAATCGCCCCTGTTATTAGTCTCCTGGTTAGATACCTGTTGCGGTTCCGTAATAGGACGTGTAACTTGCTCCATATGTAGAGAATTGTGAAAGAAGTGTAGGAAAGAGAAAAGCGATGGCAAAGACGTTGCTGGTGTCCTTTGAGGAAATACAGTGTGGCGGGGACCTGCCTCAGAGTTAGTTACTATGGGATTTGAAGCGTTGTTGTTGCTAGCATCCATGGTGTTGTCTTCTAAGAGTAGGTGTAGGCTTCTCTCAACTTCGCGCATATTCTCAGACAATTGGCTTTTATTGTTTGTCCGTGTATACAAAGCCCCAGTGACCCTAGCGATAGTGAGCGTGGAAAGGGTGAGCAATTGAGTTTGTAGGTTGATTAAGGTGGGTGATTGTTCAACTTCTAATGGCTCCAAGTATTCCTCCTCGCCCTTAAAGTCCGGGATTATCAATCTCTGAATTGTTAAGCATTGACCCCGAATCTTTTTGCCAGATTGTTGTAATCAGCTGTTTGATCAGAAGGACCTTGCAGCTATTTTGCAGTTTACTGTGCTTTCCTAGGATCCATTCTAGACGCTTCTCTGTAGCTTTTACTTTGCCTCTGAGTAGGTTTATGTGTGAGAGAAGATTGAGCTTGGAGTCCAAAACAACTCCAAGGTACAAATATTTCACAAAATGGGATACTTCCGAGGGCACCAAAAGAAGCAGCATAAAAATAGACTTTTTATTAATTTTTTTTAAATTGTATTTTATTTATTATTCTAACACTGGAAAATTATTATAATATTCATTCCATCTGAAATAATGGCGATGCAGTAAGTTGTCAAGCCCCAAGCTGCTGTCGCTGCAAATATTTCGAAGCTGTCGTGTTCGACGACCCATGTGTAAGACTTTAAAACAGCGGTCGGCAGCGTCCTATTAAGTGAGCATAGGAAATTGTTCTGCTCGAGCGCTGCCTCCACGTATACTGTAGAACAGCGGTCTGCGCACACACACTGTTAAGCCGCCCCGTACAATTTACTCACACAAATATAAAACAAAATGTAATTGTATGAGTGTGCCGACCGCTGCTTTAAAATATTGCCACCGTTTCCAGTGTGGCCAGATGAAAATTCAGCTTTCCCCCTAAAAAATCTCAAACGGAAAAAAACCCAATCGATGCATCGATGTTTGTCCACCTCTAAGCGAGTTTTTTGTCGCAAAATTTGACAAATATGGGGCACCCTGTGGGCCTGTTTTGTTTGAGTTTTTTGGCGCAAAAGTTGAACTGATTTGAATTTGAATGAGGCAAATAGGATGCATAAGAAATTTGTTATTTATTCCAAAGTAGTAATTATTCAACTGAAAAACTTTTATACTTCATTTAAAAACAAAAAAAAGCAAGGCTTTATTCTGCTAAAACAAGTAAAAAATTGATCAACAATATTGAAGTGATCAGCATATTCACATTATAGTATTATAGGATAGTATCATGGAACGCTTTATCCACCGCCGCTTCCCTCCAACACCACCAGTTGAATATCTAAAAACATGTCAATACAGTAAACTTAAATTAAATACAAATTTTCCGACTTTTTCTTTAAATATATTAGGGGGATTCCCTAAACTGTTGAATTGCTGAATTGTTGAATTTTGGTCAGCTGTTAATCAGCTGTTCCATACAAAGTCAACTTTCAGAAATTTCAGCAATTCATCAGCCTCGGGGCTGCTGAAAATTTTGTTGAATTGCTGAAAAGCCAGAGTTGTCACCTTTTTTTTAAAGTCGTGGCAACTCTGTAACATTTTAGTATCACCAGTACGCATTATTTATTTTAAAATCAACTTAGAAAGCATATTTGTGGTTCTTTTTACCTTGGTAACACTTTTAGAGAGTAACTAGCAATAATAAATCAAATTTTACATGCTTTAAGTTCCGTGAAATTTTTCAACAAATAACAGCTGTTTGAAAATTCAACAGGAACCATTTTGGGTCGTTCCCTTAATTGCTGAAATTTTTTGTTGAATTTTCAACAATTCAGCAATTCAACAGTTTAGGGAATCCCCCTATTAATGTGACCAAAAAAACATCGACTGTCGCCAAAAAACATCGATGTTTCCAAGAAATTGTTTTCATCGATGCTTGTCCACCTCTAGCCAAAACAGCGTGCAACTATTTTTTTACCTGTTAACGAATAATTCAAAATAAAACCGAAATAATGGGCGATTCCGAAGCAGAGGAGACCAAAATCAGCACCGAGCCGGTGGACAATGCGTGGTCCATGAAGATACCGACCTTCAGGCAGGAGGACAACCCGCACGGGATGGTGGAGGAGAGCTCCTTCGCCACGCTGTTCCCGAAGTACCGCGAGCGGTATCTCAAGGAGGTGTGGCCCCTGGTGGAACAGTGCCTGGAGGAGCACCACCTGAAGGCCGAGCTGGACCTCATGGAGGGCAGCATGGTGGTGCGGACGAGCCGCAAGACCTGGGACCCCTACATCATCATCAAGGCGCGCGACATGATCAAGCTGATGGCCCGCAGTGTGCCCTTCGAGCAGGCGAAGAGGTGCCTCCAGGACGATATCGGCTGTGACATCATCAAGATCGGCAATTTGGTCCACAAGAAGGAGAAGTTTGTGAAGCGGCGACAGCGCTTGATTGGACCCAATGGCGCCACACTCAAGTCTATTGAGTTGCTCACCGATTGCTATGTCCTCGTCCAGGGAAACACCGTCTCCGCTTTGGGTCCCTACAAGGGCCTCCAGCAGGTGCGCGACATTGTGCTCGAAACCATGAACAATGTCCATCCGATTTACAACATCAAGGCGCTGATGATCAAGCGGGAGCTCATGAAGGATCCCCGCCTGGCCAACGAGGATTGGTCGCGGTTCCTGCCCAAATTCAAGAACAAGAACATCAGCAAACGCAAGCAGCCGAAGGTCAAGAAGCAGAAGAAGGAGTACACCCCCTTCCCGCCCAGCCAGCCGGAGAGCAAGGTGGACAAGCAGCTGGCCAGCGGCGAGTACTTCCTCAACCAGGAGCAGAAGCAGGCCAAGCGGCACCAGGAGCGCAGCGAGAAGCAGAAGGAGGCGGCCAAGCGGCAGGACGAGCGCCGCAACAAGGACTTTGTGCCGCCCACGGAGGAGGCGGCTTCTTCGAGGAGCAAGGAGGATGGTTCCTCCTCCAGCAAGGTGGACGTGAAGGCCCTCAAGGCCAAGCTGATCAAGGCCAACAAGAAGGCGAGGAGCTGATAGTTTTCATAGTTTTAATTAGCCGTAGGTTTATTCAATAAAAGTAAGCAAGAAAATATAAATGGAAACAGAAGATTATGTTTATAAATGGTATTGGAATATTAAAAAGAGGGTTTTCAATTTAATTTAATTTATTTGTTTTAAAAATTCCGATCGGTTTATAATATACATTTTAAATTTTTTAAAATCACATTTGATATTTAAAATCTATAAATTTAATGGAAATATAAAATGGACACAATTACTAGACATCGGATTTTAGGTAAAATCTTTTTTAAATACGATTTTAATTCACAATTAATTTGTTTATTATTTTGTACATAAAACCGAAATTAGGCTGGGCTTGAATCAAATTTTGATTTTATGAAAAATAAAAAGGTATACGATAAAAAATGTCTTAAAATTGAATTAAAAAAACGATTTAACCTAAAATACTATGTCTAGTTATCACTTTGATATTTCATATTTTTGTATTTAAAAGATTTAATAATAATAACATATAATATAACATTTTAATATACTTTATATTCATTTTTAAATTAGGATAATAAAGTGACATTATTTTTGAGGCTATTACTTTGCCCGCCGTTGTAAAGAGAGATCTCTCTCCCGCTCCCTCTCTCGCTCTCTCTCTCCCGCTCCCGCTCTCTCTCTCAACAAGTGGGCTTGAAACTACACAATCCAAACACCTGAAAGGTAACCGAATGAGCCAAGTTAGTACGATTTGAGGTACCGACTGACATGTATAAACGCGCTTAGGAAGCGGATGACGCTCGCGTGCGTTTGACAAAAGCAAAAAAAAGACGGTGACTGAAAAGCCACAACAACAACAACAAGCGAGTTGCGGGGTTATTGTTATTTGTACGTTTATTTTCCACAAGCGACAAAAACAACAACAAAAGGAAAAAGAAAAACGGTTTGTGAGAATCAAAAAGAACGGAGCGAAAGAAAGCCGTCTTAAAAATAAAAATCGAAGGGGAGCGAGAAAGCATTACACCAAAGGCGACGGCTGCTAGAAAAGGACGCAGCGAACGGCGAAGACAGGTAAAAAGGAGGTGGAAGAAGAGACGGAGGAAGAAGAAGAGCGGATTAAGTGCTGAACTACAGTTACCTTTAATGTTTGAAACTAAAATTAAAACAATGCTCCAGTGATCGCAGTCGCAACGACTGCCAAACTAAAGTCAAAAACCGAAAATATAACCGAAAAACCAGTTAAAATGCCAGGCGAACGTGACAGAGATTCGGATTCGTGCTAATTAGAAAAAGAATGTGCCAGGTGAGAGGATGATATCGAAATGCTAACGAGATATCGATACCTGGGCCGCGAGTGTGTGTGTAAAGGGAATAGATATTCGTATACATATCGCCGGAAAATGCGGTCAATTAGAATAGTGTACATGGCGAATTGAGCCTGTGTCTGTGAATTAGTGAATGAATTGAACAAAAGCATTAAAAATCAATACGAAACCTGCCGCCGCTCCCACTTTTTGTACATACAGTGCTACCTGTAAATAGTGAACACTCGATAAGTGAACTTAATACAATAAAGAGGGTAATGACTTGAAAAACTGATTTTGATGTTTGGATACATTTAAAAGGTTTCAAAAAAGGTTTTATAATTATCTCCAAATGATTCGTGCTAGCTGTAATATTTTAAAATTTTTCATTCCATCAGACCCTTGAAGTTCCTCGAAATTAATTATGCAATATTTATCGTTTCTTAAAACGTTTAAAAAATTATGTTCTTTAGAAAATGTTAATAATAAAATTAAATATTTTATTACCTTAAATCCCCTTTTTCGAGTGACCCCTGTATATCCACGCACGCACATTACTGTGAAGCCTCACCTGTGTGAGTGCGGCTTAGAGGCGTGGATGAGTGTGTGTGTGAGAGAGACTCGTGAAATATCAACAGCACAAAGTGAGAGAGGAAAACGGAAAACAGGTGGAAAAGAAAGCTTAAAAAATGCGGTCGGTCAAAAACTAAAGTTGCAGCAACAGGCAAGGGGAGGGGAGAGGGGGTGGGTGTTTGCCGGAGGGAGGGAGACACGGGGACAAATACCTTTTCAAGCCGCACACACACACAGAAACATCTAGAGACAGACGACGTCAGTTTACCTGCCACGCATGCGCGCGAGGGGGACGGCAATAGTGTGTGGATCGGGGTGTCGATGTCTCGCCATCCCCCTCCCACCACCCCCCAACCCCCCAAGCTGGTTTCCACCCAAAGAACAGCAAAAACAACTATTGTTATTTGTTGTTTTGCCATTTGCTTCGTAAACCAAAAAGTATGCGAGATAAAAAAAATAACTCAAGTGAACCGCCCGCCGCCTTTTTATCTAAATCCACGCTGTCTAAGTTATTTGAGACATTAATTCCCATCTCATGCTTATCAGGGCGCAATTAATTATCTTCACCTCAATGGAAGTCATGTAGTATTTAAAATAAGAACTTTAAAATAGCTTTTGTTAAGGAATACGTGGATTCCTTTTTACCTTACAAAGGTTATTAAATAAATCCATGTTTTCCGTTTATTTAAGGTTTTTAAAAATATTTGAGAACAATGGTCTTAAAGATTTCATAGAAATTAACTTTTTAATTATGTTGAAATAGTTGTTAGAAAAATAATGAGAAGAAATATAAGTTTGATTGAAATCAACATGATAAAAGGCAACAGTGCGTATAAGTGATTAACATTTTTCTCCATCTATAAGAAATTTTTGTTAATATACATAGATCTGATTTGTTACATTAGTTTTACATGGAACATATTATATTATATATATATATATATATATTTTTTTTTTTATTAAAACTGAAACTTTTAAATGTTATTTCGCTGATTTAATCACTAAACCTGGTACTTTTCCCAAAGCTGGATTTATGCAAGCCCTACAGTTTCGCATTTATTCAAGTGCGATAATGTTTATCGCGTTTCGTCAGTGGCCTCTAAGCTGCTGTAAAATATAAAATAAAAAGCGAAAACACAAATCTGTCAAATTCCACAAGTGTGATGCAATTCGGGGCTCGTACAAAAGACTAAAACGCCAAAATAAAACACAGAAAATATAACACAGCGGCGCAACATAACAAAAACAATAAACATTTCCAGGGGTGTAGTGGGTCAATGTTTTCTTTTTTTTTATTTTTATTTGCATTTCGTCTTGTTTGTTTACTGCGATTTCATTTTGGGCCAGATCGTGTGGAGATAGTGCACTCTGGCTGACCCCCACCACAATTTTCTCTTTCACCTGTTGCAAGTACACAAAAAACCACCTTCCCCCTCGCTCGTTGACCCTGCACCCTTGGTAGATGAGTACACTGAACAAAATTTAAGAGTTTAATGATATTTCTTAAAGCTATAATTCATATTTTATAATTAGATGTTACAAATTTTCAAAACTATATTTTCCTACGGATTCTATTGAAAGCGTTTTCTGAATATTTTAATTTTAAGGATCATTATAAAGATCAATTTGGTATCGAGCTGATTTCTTCTCAGTGTAGATTGGTATGCGACAGCGCTGCCAGCGTTGACTGCGCAGTCAGCGTCTGAGCCCAGCCTAAAACAGCGGAAAAGTTGTTGCTGTCACTTGAGTCGAGGGAGCGGTTGAGATATAGTGTCTGGTGTGTCTGTTAGAAAGAGAAGGAGCTAGTAAAAGTGTGTTTGCAAATCTCAGTTTCATGTGTTTTTGTATGTGTGTGCTTTTTGCAGGTGTGTTTATTTACTGCACAGAAATAAATCAAGATAGTTTTTAGCCAGATATTTTCTATAAGAATCTTTTACAAAAAGTTTTATTATTTTAAAGCTTAAAAACATGATGAGGAATGACATTAAAAATATTCCTATTTTAGCTTTCTTATCTTTTCCGCGGTATATAGAAACCGCAAAAGTTATTAGATAACATAAAATGATAAACTAGCTTTAATTGTAAAAATAAAAATAATTCCAGTAAGTGACTCAAAATATTTAGTTGGTTTACTTGTAAATACCATTGGGCTTTAATGTTATAAAATAATTTTCAAGCGGTTGACCTTTTAAAAGATTACTATTTATTACCATTAAATCCTTTTAAAAGATTACTATTTATTACCATTAAATCAAAGTTAAGATATATTTCTACCAGACCTTCAAAACAATCTTAATATTGTTTTCTGTGCAGTCAAAGTGGATACAATCAGTTAGGAGGAGAACCAGGGGAAGTCGCGATTTTTGAATTCCAATGCTGATCCAAGCCAACAACGAAATGTTAAAGTTTGAGAATAATTGCGGCCATGTGCGGATCGTTTTGGAGAGTATGTGTGTTATAACGCTAGTGGCTGTGTGGAATGCGGTCTGAGTCAGAGATTGGATTGGCTGCGCAATATCCGAAGGGGTTTAGAGGGATTTTGGGGCTTCAGGGGGTCTTGAGATGCAGGGGGCCAATTGAAACTCAGCTGCACGAAAATAAATACAAAATAATTATTTAACACATATTTTAAGATCTATTATTATATCCGGCAAACACTTGTTCATGGGAAACTCCAAGATCTTGAGGGACCAAATTGGGAACGAAGACTTCTATGGGGTACCACACCCCTGAAAGTCTTGTGTCAATGAGGAACTCTTATTAGGCAGTTTGCGATATTATGAAAATTCGATTCCATTCTATTGTATTCAAGTTAAACATGTTTTTAGCAAACACTCATTTACCAGTTTACCCAAAGTATTCTTATCAACCTTTGTAATATAAATGTCATAAGAATATTAATAAATATTAAAAAATATTTCTTTCCAAAATTTTTTTTTTTATAAAAAAGAATAGATTTAAAAGGAGTAGAAAAGGCATCTGAATTTTTTACCATAGAAATTTTTATAAATGTTTAACAGAATTGCGTCATCGATTAAACGGTAATTAATATTTATTCCTATGGAATTAATAATTTGGTCATTGAAATTCTCAAAACATTTTAGTTTGTATAAGAATGAAAACTAAAAATAATAATATTTTTATTAATATTGTTTAATTTCAGACGGAGTTTCAGGCGTCGAAAGAAGCCTGATTGGGGATCGGGCGACACCATGGTGAACCACCATTCGAATGGAGGCGGCAGTGCCGGCAATAGCAGTGGAAGCTTGAGAGGTGGCGGTGCCCATGGAGGCGGCGGCGGAGGAGGAGACTATTCCGGAGATGATCGCAGTGGAGGCGGCGAGGAGCGGGAGCGGATGGAGAGCGACTTGCACGACAAGCCCACCTACCTGCTGGAACACCTGGCCACCTTCACGGTGAACAAGGAGTCGGGCATTGTCTATCCGGCGGACGGAATGCGTCGCCTCCTGCAGCTGGAGAAGACCACTGGGATTTGGTCGCAGAAGATGCAGCTCTGTCTGGACTACCAGTGGGTGCTTATCATGGACTACGAAACGGGGGTAAGTCGGGGGATTGGCTTTTACGATCTCTTGGGTCTTTGGAATTCATGTTCTTTGTTTTCTTTCAGAACATCATCGAAAGATTCCCCGCCTCGTTGGTCCAGGAGCCCACCGCCTTCACCTCCAATGACGCCATGGAGCTGTACAACAACATTCTGGTCTTTATCGTGTCCGGAGGCGGAGGTTCCCGCTCCGAGATGCACATATTCCAGGTGAGCAAGATACACTTGGAAATAAAACTGCCTAGATTGTTTCAATATCAGATTCTCACAACCAAAATAGGGTTTTCTCGATTTCAAGAACTTTTTTTAAACCTTAATAATTAGGTAAGAGGAACGAATTCTAAAATTGATAGAATTTGTTTCTAAGAAGATACAAGAATATAAGAAGTACTTAGAAAATAGATTAAAGATTATCTAGGTTATAGATATTAGTATATAAACACTATAAACTTTCTAAGCCCTTTTGCATTCAGATTTCCAGTTCAAATTATTTAAATGTGCCATTACAGTAGCTTCTTTGCAAAACGATTAATCTCTGTTAAACATTGATGTTATTTTTATACCTCAATGAAAACTTGATTAAAGATTGTCACTGCTCGCTGGTCATATATTTAATCAAGACAAAGTTAATTAATGGTGACATGCGTTTAATCACAGTAAATTAATAATGGTGACATGCATTTAATCACAGTAAATTAAATTCTGATAATTTAAGCTTTGTGAGAATGTCGCTCAAAATATGCTACTTAGTGATAAAAATAGCCAGGTACCGAAAATAATTATTATTTCTGATTTTTATTTTGAATATCTTAGATCATATACTCACAAGTTCTTAAAATAGTTTATATGATCCTTACCATGTCAAAACAATTAAATAGGATCAATTCTACCTTATTTTATATCAATACACAATTTATGATTCAAACATATCAACTTGATATTTTGTATTAAAATTTATTAAATAAATAATCTAAAATGAGATAAACATAATTTTTATTCAAATCTTTAAAAAAAAAGAGTACCTTAATTGATTCTAATTCTTTGTTTTCCCTTTGCAGTCACAAAGCGTGTCCGCCGTTCACCTGGTCGAGGACTTGAAGCAGCTGCGCAGCGGCAAGATGATCACGCAGCAGCGCGGTGCCACGCCCACACAGTCGGGAGGAGGAGGAGGAGGCGGAGGCGCCTCCAGCATGGCCATGATGATGAGCAAGACCTCCTCGTCGTCCTCGCACAGTCGCGTGGAGCTGCACCAGCAGCAGCACAGGGAGCAGCGATCGGAGCGCGAAAGGGAGCGGGATCGGGATCGAGATCGGGAGTCGAGAAACGAGAGCCACCACCACCAGATGCACCAAAGGAGCAGCATGGAGCAGTACGGAATGCGAGCGGGCGTGGGTGTCGCCGATGTGGATGTGGCCCACATTGGCGGGGAGACGGACTCGGAGCATGGAGGGATTGGAGGCGGTGGAGCTGGGGAACGCGATGAGACCAGCTCCACGTCAAGCGAAAAGTACGAGCGGGATGTGGCCGTGCTGAATCACTGTTTCGACGACATCGAGAAGTTCATTGCCCGGCTGCAGCATGCGGCTGCCGCTTCGCGGGAACTGGAGCGTCGCCGTCGCAATCGAAAGTCCAAGAAGAGGGATCCCGGCGAGGGGCTGCTCACGCTGCGGACACGACCGCCGCACGAGAAGGAGTTTGTGGACATTTTCGCCAAGTTTAAGCTGTCGTTTAACCTGCTGGCCAAGCTGAAGGCGCACATCCACGACCCGAATGCCCCCGAGCTGGTGCACTTCCTCTTCACGCCGCTCGCACTGATTGTGGAGGCCTCCAGCGACACCTACTACGAGTCGCAGCTGCCGGCGCGCGTGGTGAATCCCCTGCTCACCCGGGAGGCCATAAACCTGCTCATTAACTGTGTGACCAGCAAGGAGACGGAGCTGTGGCGCTCCCTCGGGGATGCCTGGGTTATACCGCGGGATCAGTGGAAGGACGACGTGGGCTCGTACCACCCGGTGTTCCTCGACGGCTGGTCACCGGACTACTTGATCAACGATGAGCTGGAACCGCCACCGAACTCCCCGCCCGCCCATGTCAGCAGCAAGCGGCGACTGGAGGTCCAGGCGGGATCGGGTCTGAATGGAAGAGGTGGATACGATGACTACGACTCGGGGAACGGAATGAACATGGCCATGGGCATCGAGAAGTACACCATCCACCATGGCAACGATCGGGATCGCGGGGGAGCCATCAGCGCCTCTGACTTTAATACCCGCAGCGAGCTCTCCTTCGACTCGATTGAGGGCAGGGGCGGTGGGGGCGGCGGAGGAGCAGCGGGGCATGGTCATAACCATGCCCATGGACCTGGAGCTGGACCCACCCTCAGCGCCATCACAGCTGGTCTGCAGAATCTCCACACGCGGGAATCGCGCGGAGGCAATGGTTACGGCGGTGGAGCAGGGCCAGGTCCCTCCTCTGAGTTGGGCGGCGGAAGGGGAGGTGGTGTTGGCGGTCCACCGAATGTCAGCGACGACCAGATGCTAGAGTCCTGGCTGGAGGATTTGCAGGCGACGGGAGCGAAGATAGTGCTGGTCACCTATCCGCGCACCGCCAACAATGACAAGGAACTCAGCGTGATGCGAGGCGAATATTTGGAGGTATATAATTGAACATTCTTATACCATTGTCCGTCTGTCCGTTCGTCTGTCCGTCTGTCCGTCCGTTTATACGCGAATTAGTCTCTCAGTTTTGAAGCTATCGGGTTGAAGCTTTCCCAAAAGGCTTCTTTTTATTGCAGGTAGTATATAAGTCGGGACCGGTCAGATCGGACAACTATATCCTTTAGCTCCCATAGGAATAATCGGAAAAATATTAAAAAATTCTAGCTTCGGTGTTTTTAGAAATATCTTACGTTCTACTTTTGGGAATAATGTTATTAACATATTTCTGAACTTCGGATTAAATTTTTAAAAAAATCCGATGACTATATCATATAGCTGCCATATGAACGATTGAAAAATTAATGGAAAAATAATAGGAAATAAATTGTAGCTTTTTTGGTTTTTATTGTATTCTGTTCTACTCTGATATGACATTTTTTTAATATTTCCGAATTTTGAATAGAAAAAATAATATCAACATAATAGGAAATTTAACATTTTTGCGATTTGTAAATTAATAGTAATGATCTGCAAGGGTAGATAAGCTTCCTTTCTTGTTTTATGTGCAGTCCTAATCCTCTATTCCATCCCCTAGATCCTGGACGACACCCGAAAGTGGTGGAAGGCGCGCAATATGCGTGGCCAGGTGGCCCACGTGCCGCACACTATTGTCACCCCCTTTAACTTTGGCGATGGCGATGGAGCCCAGTTCTACGGGCAACAACAGCAGTCGCAGCCGGGTCCTCCAATCTCGGGCAGCAAATCGCGCGGAGGGGTGAGTAGTCCTTGGAATCCCTGGAATTCCCTTTCATTAATAGTTTAAAACACAAACAGGATAATCCCGGCATGGAGCAGCGATCACCGGACCCCACCGACATGATGCGCAGCAAGCATCTGGGCAAGAAGGGCGAGTTCCGCTACTTCTAGGATCTAAGATCTATCCAAGATCCATCCAAACCATATACATATACACACACATATTCCGTAGTGAGAATCTAGCATTTTAGAGAGAGACACATAAATCAGCAGTCCCGTCTAGGAGGCTAATCCTGATCCGATTAGCTCCGATAACTAGAACTAACCTTAAGACTAACCTAAGTGATCAAGACGACGACGAAGAAGAAGGGGAGGCGACGGCAATAATTTGTTTTAATAAAATTATATCCAAAGGATCCCTTGATTGTGATCGATTTCAGAGATATCTAGAGAATATTTCTGGGTTATAATAATCAAGTTATAAACTATAGATTTGACGAGCTGCTTTGCTTTATTCGGATGCTCACAAGAGAAAGTTAACTGGTGCTGTAGTGATCAAAGCCAACGATTGAACAAAGAGCATTCTACGAAAATTCGAATAGATCTGGGAAGCTACCACTTTCGATTAAATGATGGATAGCTTTTCCACGCGCGACAGAAGCGGCGAATCGGAGTGGTATTCCATGCTCCTCACGGCGAAATCTCCGACCTCATTGGTGAAGCACTTTAGGGTAGAAATGGAGAAGGGACGTCCGGGGAAGTTGTAGTAGGTGAAGTACTGACCGTTCACGGCGATCAGAAAGGCACGATCCCCCAGTCCAAAGGCGATCTTGAAGAGTTTTCCGCGCACAAACGGAAATTCGCCCTCGGTTTCTTCGTCACTTATGGCAAAGCTGAAAATAAATCGATGGGAATTAATTAAGATTTTAGATTAATCAATAGATTGATTATTTTGTATACCCAAAAAAAATCGATATGAAACGTAGATAGATCTTACATTATTTAAGATCAATTTTAATTTGATATGTGGCTAGGTAATTTCGACCTGGTCGAAAAGAGTATTTCATGTAAAGTCGATATGAATTTTACATCGATTTTACGGGAACATGTTTTTTTTGTGTGTATGACATTCTATATAGGTTCTACCTGTTATCTTCCCGCTGGTAACTGCGTGAAACCGTCGTACGATCAAAGTTCACGTGGAAGCGGAGCACAGTTCTCCCGGTATCGTTGCACTGGAAGCAGATAGAGAACTCCGTGGTCGGTGGCCCCTTGGCGATGCACTCCATGGCTACCACCGTTCCCGTTTCATAGCGTCTGGGCACATCGCTTTGGAAGGCCACCTTATCCGGACACATGAGAGTTCTCGGGAAGACGAGTGGGAAGAGCATACGATGATGGAACTGCGTGATCTTCTCAAAGTCCCCGTAGGCCCGCACATAGTTGATTTGCTTGGGGAACCTGACGAACTCAAAGGATCCGTACAGCTGATCGTTCACATAGATCTCGAAGCATCGCTGGAGCACTGCCACCCGGAAGGTGAAACTCTGACCCGGCTGTAGGGGATTCTTGGGGCCATCGCACTTCCAGTTCTTCGAGATCTCCTCCTGCTGCCATCCCTCGCCCGGCTGGAACATGCTGCGGATGATCTGGCCCTCACGGAAGTTGGCCTCGATCTTCAGGAACACCGTTTCGCTCTCGTTCGAAGCGTTCACATTGTCCGTGAGATCTAGGGAAATTCTGTCCGCAAGTAGAGTGGGATTAGTAAAATTTATTATAGAAATATTCGATTAAAAAACTTTGTCTAGGTACTTCGGAACTCTCTATTATTTTGTCACCTTAAATTATTTAAAAAATTTTTTTTTTATTTATGAACTTATCAAAATTTTGGAGTATCAGAAATCGCGATTTATTGCTTTATTTTCTCATAGAAATATTTATTTATCGTTCGATATTCGGTACTCTAGTATTTTGTCACCTTAAAATATTTAAATTTTTTTTTTTTTTTATAAACTTTATAAAACAAAATTGCTGAATACCAGAAATTGCGGTTTATTGCTTTTTTATAGAAATATTTGTTTATCGTTAGCCACTTATATTTGCCGTCCAATTTGATTGGTTTCTCAATAATCGGTTATTTATAAATGCATTATATCTTAATTGGTTTAGTTTGACCATTATATTATCATGTTTAATATTTAGGAATTTAGTAATTTTTATAAAGCTTTTTTTATTATGTTGAACTTTTTTGATGAAGATTATGGTATTTTTAAGAAGACAGATGGTTTATAAATATGTTATTAATATTATTATCCTAGAGTACCGAGAACCCAAAACAAAAATGCCTTTACTTATTCGGATGAGGCTTGACACGCCCACTGACGATGAGAACATGCCCGAAGGGAACTTCAGTTAAAACCTTAGCTTTCCAAACGTTCATCGCGGCTCCACGGTTCCACTGCAACTGAATCCGTATCCGTATCCTTGTTGGAATCCAGCCTATCCGAATCCCACGTCGCCGTTTTATGCGCCCTTATGCTAATAGATTCGCCATCCGTCGCCTTTCCTCGTTCATTTGTTGTGATTATGTAAAGGCGGGTGAAATGAGGAATTACCTGCAGCCGCATGCAAACTTGACATGGACGTGGTAAGGTTACCCCCAATCCCATTCCGAAGCCCAACCCGTTCAATCGAATCCCATATAAATCCCCGGGCAACCCCCCGTTCGAATCTGAATATCCGACCCACTAAAAGACCCAGCGGAGCTCCATGACGAGAACCTTGCGCGTTTATTTATTTGATTCAATCCTTGCCTTTGTAACCCATAACTGTCATCCTCGAGTTCTTTTCACGGTTGCTGTCACGCCCCCAACTGCCGACTGCCCATTTGTTGCTAGTTACTCGCGGCACTGAGCGAAAAAAACTGTACTAAAATTAATTTACAGTGAAAAATATGAAAATTAAATTAAAACAGTTATGATCCCCGGTAACTCAAAAACTGGTTGAAAAAAATTAAGAAAGTTAAAAGATAATATAGAATCCTTCCAATACGGAAAAAATTAAATTTATACTTAAAACACATTTTTGGAATATCATTAAAACAACATTTAATATCATTTTATGAGGGTAAAATATTTATGATCCCAACTCAATCCACTTTTTATCAATAAATAAATGAAGGGTCATAAAATGTAATACGCCTATAGTAAACTACCGATAATAAAACCACAAAAATCTAAAAAGTAGCTGGATATTTCGATTTATAATTATCTATGTATGCCTTATAGATAAAGAAGGATATATACCTCGTATATATAATATCAAGCTCTCAATATAATGTTTTGTATAATCCTATTCGTTTCAAGAAATTACATAGCCGTGTTCTCCATCTTAGCCTCTCCCTTTTGACGGCTTCCATTGTTGTTGCGTGTCTTGGGCGAAATAAAACAAGGTAACAACAATTGATTCCCTGTCTAAAGTTTTTGCATTTGCAGTAAAGTGCGACTTGGGGGCTGAGCTTTGGGCTCTCCTCCACCTGGAGCACTTTTCCAGTAGCTCCCTGCCCCCCAGAAACTCCTCCCCCGGAGATTCCAGTCCGGGTAATTCATTTCTTTTGACGTACCTTGGCATATTCGCTGAAGTTCTGTCTCCGTCTCTGTCTGCGTCTACACCTTTCGCTTTCGTCCACGTCCAAACCAATGACATCTCCTCGGGGCTCCACTCATCCTGGAACAGTGAAAGGTCCTCTATAAGCCCTTTAGAGAAGTATACAAAATATATTAAGATTAATTAGATAATTAAATTAAAAAAAAAAAAAAAAAAAAAAAAAGATGACTAATGTCTAATACTGTCCCAACTTTAGTACATTTTAGGTAGAGTTTAAACGATATTATACTAATATCTAAAATGAATAACAGAGACTTTAGTTAACTTCTTTGAAGATTCTCCCAAAAGTGTTTAGTTATTAGAGGCCTTACTGTACTCCCCCCTTGGAATACGTGGCCTCTGTTTGTCTATGTTTCCTTAAATGTTTCTGTCGCTTGCACCTGAACGAATTGGGTCCAAGTCTTCAGCCTAACTCGACTTGGCTGGGCTCACTTATTTCTGATTGCGTTTCACCTTGGAACCTCCCAACCCACCCGAACCCCCATTTTCCAACTACCCAAAGATGTGCCTGGCTTTGCCTGCTACGAATGGCAAATGGCAAATCGCTAATTGGTTAGTTATGGCCACTGACAATCCAATCCATCAATTGGCATTCCGACAGCCCAATATAAACATCCTTTGGTGACCTTGTCAACTCCTGCCTCTGACCTCTGACCCCGCCCACCAATTGGCTCACACGCCCACTTGTTCAGCGCCTTTTCAAACAGAACTAATGAAGTAATCGTGTCGATTTCAACTTTAATTTCCGCTTGTCACTCCAACTGATAACCCGAAAGCAAGTGGGCCAATGCGAGCAAGGTTTGTGTACGTTGCACAATTATCAGTTTCAGTTTCGGCTTCGGTTAAATTGTTGCCTTATAGAGTGCCACGTTAGAAGCCCTTAGAAACCCTTTTTTAACCCCACAATGCACAGAAAAAATAAATAATTTATGATCATGTTATTAACTTTATATCAAAAGGATGTAAAACTATCAGAAATTCCATTCAAAAATATCCCTTATGATCATATTTTTTTAAAACCTATGATAATGATCACATTATTCAATAATTAATTTCAATAAGATGTAAAACTATAAAAATCCATACATTATTATATTTTTTATAATTTTTCTTTTCTGTTTTATATCCATATCCTCTTGATACAATATTAAATCTTTAAATTGACCAACATATCGTTCTAGTTTTTCTCTCCGTGCCTCTCCAGAATTCTTATCTCGTCCCCAAGTCTGGAGCACTTTTTTCCCCAGCCGTATCGAATCGGTTTAAAGCGAGCGACGACACGTCTACAGAAATCAGATTTTACGGTCGGGTCTGGCGAACGGATCCGCAAATCGTACAACCAATATAGTGATAATGGGTTTACGGCCCCCGAGAGAACTAACCATTATGCCAGCGCACCAAGTAGAGTCGATTCCAAAACCCGAACACCCCAAACCGAATCCGAAACCCAAACGGAAGCCGAATATAACGATTCGATTTTTAATCAACCGGCTTCACCACTTGAGGTGGCGTCTGCTTTTTGGGGGCGGAGCGAATCACGCCGCTCTTTGGTATCAGTGCCAGGTTTTATCATCACTTAAGATCAGTGAAGGAACCATTTCGGATTGATAGTGGTTCGAAGAAGCGCTTATCGCCGATCCTCACCTGATGACGTACCCATTTAGGATATGCCAACTCATTATTTCACTTGAGATATCCATTGGTAACCGCACTTCCTCAAGATACACATTGCACCATATAGAAAACCATTCCTAACTTCAACACGTGGCCTTTAAATCGGACATGAAAATAACTTAAGCCAAACGAACAAACTTCTTGCGATCACAGTTTGCATCCCCTTGGCCCAAGTAATTCGCTGCCCCAAAGGGATACTATTAACCACTCCACGTAGGCACTACTATATGCACTATATATAACACCATATCTTTTTTTTCTTCGACAGGAATCGGATCGTTTCGGATCGGCACTATATATGCTCTTGTCGCGTTTCGGAACGTAACTGAAACGTCGGATTTGACGGTGAAGTTTAAAATGCCAGCTCCCGATGAAGAATCGGGGCCCACGAAGCAGTATAGTATAGTATCGTCGATCGCTACCCATATCTCACCTGTACAGGTGTACAACTGTGCGACTGCAAAGGAGCGATAGAGAGAGAGAGCCGAAAAAAAACAGAAACGGAAAACAAATAAATATGAAATATTGAACTGGAGCAGAAAGTGGGTGATATTTTGTAGATAGCATAGCGCACACACACACCTTTGTATTGGCCATTAAACGCGACTGTCAACGTAGCTGAAAGGCTGAAAAGAAAAGAAAATGAAATGGAAATGGAAATGCCAGTGGAAATGGAAATGTCGCCCCACAATTTGTCTCAATAGATTCTGTCGTGGCTGGCGTTATCAGTACCAGGTAGTGTGAACAGGTGAGGGTTCCCGACTGCCCCCTTTACCTGCGAACCCGTCAGGCGCATCCATTAAAACCACCCCACAGTCACGGGCATTACTATAGATTTTTGTATATATTTTCTTTTTAATAATTGCGCTTCTGGTTGTGCAAATGCTTAATCATCAGTTTTATTCTAATAGAATATCAACATCTTTGAAGAATATTTAGAGTTCTAGTTCTGCTTAGTAATGTAAGAAAAAACTTTCTTAGTTATAAAAGGTTGCGGAAATAGGAAGTCTTTATTTCAAATATAGCATGAGTAGAAATTTTATATAATATCAAAAATAGTTAATAAGAGTTTGTATTATTTTTAACAATGGAGTTGAAAAAAAAAACAAATTTTACAAATAATTTATTATTTAATGGAAAGAAAAAACTTTTTTTTTGTGTTTTGACCTTTTTTTATTAGTTGTAATTGTTGAATTATACTTAACAATCAAATCTTAGATATTATATAATAATCAAATCTTAAGTTATCAACATAATTCTCTTAGTTGCATCTTGAGTTCTACTATTTTGACCCCAACTGTACTTTTTTATGTGCCTCTGACAAGTGACAACTTCGACTCTATATTTGCTGGAGCCTGTCCGTTTCGCCCCACCTTCCTTATCGCCCCTAGCGACTTTATCAGAAGACAGCGAACATGCCGAGAAAAGCCATCATTTTCTTTGATGTTCGCACGAGACGGAGTGTCATTAATTGATTTATAACTAAAGTTGATTGCCAGGGCTTCCTGGGAGTGTTTGCTTTGGTCCGATTTGAGGATGTCCAAGTGGTTATACAAATGGCCAACTAATTAAGGTAAATGTGTTTGCTGTGATGTTAACTCTGTGGGGAGATATCTTCTCGCCTTGGCAGATATGTATTGTGTTTTTTACCTCAAGTGATAACGTCGATGGGGTGAGAACACGGAGTCGATCGGGCACTTAGATGATTGGGATGGCAACAAGGTGGCTCGTTTCGGTTCCATTTCGTCATCCAGTGTTTGCTCCCATTTCGATCATTGTTTGAAGTGGGAACAGAAAGTGAGCACACAGCCCATTTATTTCTTTTTACCCCGGCATTCCCATTCTCAATTCAATTTCCAGCAAATGTGTACATTTAGAGCGTGTTTATTCAGCTTGACAATGTCGCACTTGTACACAATATATACATCTAGATGGTATGGTATGGTTTGGCTGGAGTTCCAGGGAAATATCCTATAGATCGGTGGTCTGCTGCTTTTTGGCCTCGATCACATTCTGCATGACCAGATCGTACAGGTTGTCCTCCTCTTCGTGTGGGTTTCCCTTTTCTTCCCTCTTATCACCGACCTCCTCCAGACTCTCTAGTTCCCTTCGGTAATTTTGCAGGGCCTTTTGAAGGAGTTTCTCTACGGGGGAATACGTGGAACGTGATCTCAGGCGGGCTTTTGCTATTTCCAGTGCCTGAAAATATCATGCTTATCATATCATACCCTATTTATAGGAAAAAATTACCTTTAAAGTGTTGGTATTTCGTAAAAGAGCTTCTTCATAGGACAAAACCCTCGGAACAGCGGTGGTAGAAGTCTCAGCCAGCTTTTCGTTCTGCTGCTCCAGTTTCAGTTCCTCAGCTTGTCTATAGGGAAACCCATCTCTATATAATCTTACAATTTTCCTATAGCATAAGTACAACCCACACTTTCTCCAATTTCTGATCAACCTCCGCCTCGAGGGCGAGGTATTTGTCATTAATCTCCTTGATGAGGTCCATTGTTCGTCCTTCAAAAGGGATTTGTAAACAGAAACCTAAACAAACGAGTTGCCATGCAACGGTAATTTGTTTTGGACGTTAGCAGGTGTTGCCAGGTAGTTTGAAATTGATTGTGACTGTCAGAGATACCTGAGTTAATAGTGTTGCCACAGCAATAGAAAAAGGAACCGTTATCGTTAACCCATTAAAAACAATTTCTCTTCTTGTTTATAAAGATAATAAAGACAGCTGATTTAGTGTGAAGTGGTTGTTCGTGTGGGGTCTCGACCTTGGGATTTTGCGATTTTTTATTATAGATCTCTCTAGATATATATTTTTGGATATATACATAGATAAGATATATGGAGGATATATAACATCATCTGACAGTGCGTGGATTTGGTAATTTGTATTCGACGATCGCGTGAGATTCTTGGTCCTCTGATATAAATTTTAAAATCATGAACTCGGTGTTGGTGTTTTTTGTGAACGGGAAAAAGGTATTTTGATATACTTCGTAGTAAATATGGTATAACTACCTATCTGCTTTCCAGGTAACCGAAAATAATCCCGATCCGGAATTTACGCTCCTCACTTATTTGCGGGAAAAACTGAGGCTGTGTGGCACCAAGTTGGGATGTGCGGAGGGCGGATGTGGCGCCTGCACTGTGATGGTGTCCCGCCTGGATCGTCGTGCCAATAGAATCCTCCACCTGGCGGTCAACGCCTGTCTTACTCCAGTTTGTTCCCTCCACGGATGTGCGGTGACCACGGTGGAGGGAATTGGGAGCACCAGGACCCGATTGCATCCTGTCCAGGAGCGTCTGGCCAAAGCGCATGGATCTCAGTGTGGCTTCTGTTCGCCGGGCATGGTCATGTCCATGTACGCTCTCCTCCGGAATGCTGAGAAACCCTCTATGCGGGATTTGGAGATGACTTTCCAGGGCAATCTATGCCGCTGCACTGGCTATCGACCCATTCTCGAGGGCTACAAGACTTTTACTAAAGAATTTCAATGCGGAATGGGCGATAAATGCTGCAAGGTCAAGACATTTTCTAGCGAAAATGATAAGCTCTTCGAGGCTAGTAACTTCCAGCCTTTGGATCCCAGCCAGGAACCCATTTTTCCGCCGGAACTTCAGTTGAGTGACTTCCTCGATAAGCAGAACTTGATCTTTCGTTCGGAGCGAGTTACCTGGTATCGTCCCACCAATCTCAAAGAGCTCCTCCAACTGAAGGCAAAGCATCCGGGTGCTAAACTAATCGTGGGCAACACGGAAGTGGGCGTGGAGATAAAGTTCAAGCATATGCTCTACCCACACCTCATTAACCCGAGTCAGGTGAAGGATCTGCTGGAGATTAGGGACTGCCAGGATGGTATCTACTTTGGTGCCGCAGTGAGTTTGTCTGAAATCGATGCTCATCTAAGGAAGAGAATTGAAGAGCTGCCTGAATCGGAAACCAGATTGTTCCAATGCTCAGTGGAGATGCTTCATCACTTTGCCGGCAAGCAGATCCGTAATGTCGCCTGCTTGGGTGGAAACATTATGACCGGAAGTCCCATTTCCGATGTGAATCCCTTGCTTTTGGCAGCAGGAAGTCAGTTGGAGGTGGCTAGTGTTTCTTCCAGTGGAGAGATTCAAAGGAGGAAGGTCAAAATGGATAATGGATTTTTTACTTCCTACCGAAGGAGTGTTATTGAAGATCATGAGGCTCTTCTCGGAATCTTCTTGAAGAAAACTTGTAAAGATGAGTACATGGTGGCTTTTAAACAGTCTAGAAGAAGATCGGATGACATAGCCATCGTAAATGCTGCCATAAATGTGAGGTTTCAGGAGAATACCAATATAGTTTCGGAGATTTCAATGGCCTTTGGTGGAATGGCTCCCACCACAGTTATGGCTCCTATAACCTCTCAATTGATGATTAATCAGCAGTGGAATCACCAATTAATGGAGAAAGTGATAGAGAGTCTTTCCAAGGAGTTACCCCTCGATGCCTCTGCTCCTGGTGGAATGATCGCCTATCGTCGAGCTTTGCTGGTTAGCCTGTTCTTCAAGGCTTTCCTGGTCATTAGCCAAAAGTTGGGTAACCTGGGTGATTCCCTGCCAACTAAAGAGCAAAGTGGAGGGGAGAGATTCCATTTTCCATCAAACCTGAAGAGTGCTCAAATCTTCGAGTGCGTCTCCAGTGAACAAGCCATCTGCGATCCCATTGGAAGACCTCAAGTTCATGCAGCTGCCTTGAAACAGGTCACCGGAGAAGCGATCTACACAGATGATATACCTGCCATGGCTGGGGAGGTCTATTTAGCTTTGGTCCTGAGTTCAAAACCACTTGCTAAGATCACCAAGCTGGATGCCAGTGAGGCTCTGGCTTTGGAGGGAGTCCATCGGTTCTTCTGCCACAAGGATTTAAACGACCAAGAGAATGAAGTGGGTAGGGTGGCCCATGATGAGCACGTCTTTGCCGCCGGGGAAGTTCGTTGCTGTGGTCAGGTGATTGGAGCCATAGCTGCCGACAACAAGACCTTGGCCCAAAGAGCCGCTCGGATGGTGAAGGTGGAGTACCAGGAGTTGGAGGAACCAGTTATTCTGACCATCGAAGAGGCTATTAAGCACAGGTCCTTCTTTTCTCAGCATCCTCGTCCTCTGATTCAGGGAAATGTGGAGGAGGCCTTCACCCAGGCAGATCACCTCTACGAGGGAACCTGTCGAATGGGCGGACAGGAACACTTCTATCTGGAGACCCATGCGGCACTAGCTGTTCCCCGAGATTCCGATGAGCTGGAACTCTTCTGCTCCACCCAGAATCCCACGGAGGTGCAGAAGCTGGTGGCCAATGTCACCTCACTTCCTGCAAACAAAGTCGTTTGTCGGACGAAGCGTTTGGGCGGCGGTTTTGGGGGCAAGGAATCGCGAACCATTTCCGTGGCCCTTCCCGTCGCCCTGGTCGCCCATCGGATGGGTCGTCCTGTGCGCTGCATGCTGGATCGAGACGAGGACATGCTCATTACCGGCACTCGCCATCCCTTCCTGTTCAAGTACAAGGTGGGCTTCTCAAAGGAGGGACTGATCACTGCCTGCGACATCGAGTGCTACAGCAACGCCGGATATTCCTTGGATGTCTCCGTTGCGGTGAGTGCTAGAAGAACTATCACTAATCTCTGAAGATTATTAAAGGAAAGAGCGATTTTTAAGAGAGTACGACCACATTGAAAACCCTAAGAGCTAGAACAGCCAAATTGCGGGCCTAACCGCTCTTTAGGATCCCAAATGTCCTTCCAGTGGCACCAAACAGCCCCAACATCAATATTTGGACCAACAAAATTAGATGTATTTAGTGCATAACTTCTAAAGTGGTTGGAATTTTTAAATTTTGTTTTTAGCCAAATTTTTGTTTTGAAAAAACCTAATTATACATAAAAGAAAATTTCGAAAAATGTGCATTAAAACATTTTTTTTGTTCTTACATTTTTTTTATAAAATTTTTTTATATTTTTTTTACATTATTAGTAATAATAATATTAATTTATTACCAAACCTAATCCTTTATTTATTTATGATACTAGTAAAAAAGTCTTTCGTTGAATTCTTCTGATGAACATAACCTTTTTTTTCAGGTTTTGGAGCGTGCAATGTTCCACTTTGAGAACTGCTACAGGATACCCAATGTTCGAGTGATGGGACGGCTTTGCAAGACGAACCTGGCTTCGAACACGGCCTTCCGTGGCTTCGGGGGACCACAGGGTATGTTCGCCGGCGAGCACATCATCCGGGATGTGGCCCGAATAGTGGGTCGCGATGTGGTGGACGTGATGCGCTTGAACTTCTACAAAACAGGGGATTATACCCACTACCGTCAGCAACTGGATCACTTTCCCATCGAGCGATGTCTGGAGGATTGCCTAAGGCAGTCGAGGTACGAGAAGAAGCTCGAGGAGATCACTGCATTTAATCGAGAGAATCGCTGGAGGAAACGCGGAATGGCGGTGGTGCCCACGAAATATGGCATTGCATTTGGGGTCCTGCATTTAAATCAAGGTGGTGCCCTGATCCACATTTACGCTGATGGATCTGTTTTATTGTCCCATGGAGGCGTTGAGATGGGACAGGGTCTGCATACCAAGATGATTCAGTGCGTCGCTAGAGCTTTGGGAATTCCCCACGAACTCATTCACATTGCGGAGGCTTCCACGGATAAGGTACCGAATACCTCGGCCACGGCGGCTAGTTTGGCATCGGATCTCAATGGGATGGCAGTGCTGGATGCCTGCGAGAAGCTCAATCAGAGATTGGCTCCCATCAAGGAGGCACTTCCTCATAAAACCTGGAAGGAGTGGATCAAGAAAGCCTATCTCGATCGGGTCAGTCTCTCGGCCACCGGATTCTACGCCATTCCGGACATTGGCGTCTATCATCCGGAAAGCAATCCGAATGCCCGAACCTTTAGCTACTTCACCAATGGTGTGGGCATCAGTGTGGTGGAGATCGACTGCCTGACTGGAGACCATCAGGTGCTCAGCACGGACATAGTCATGGATATCGGATCCAGTCTGAATCCGGCCATTGACATTGGACAGATCGAGGGGGCATTTATGCAGGGCTATGGATTGTTTACCCTCGAGGAGCTGGTGTATTCACCGCAGGGAATGCTGATGTCCAGAGGACCCGGCATGTATAAGGTTCCGGGATTTGAGGACATTCCCGGCGAGTTCAATGTCAGCCTACTGACAGGAGCGCCCAATCCTCGGGCTGTCTACTCCTCCAAGGTAATTCTCTGTAGAAAGAAATATGATATCACTATTATATTAATTTCTTATACCATAAATATTTAACAGGCTGTTGGGGAACCCCCGCTCTTCATAGGATCTTCAGTTTTCTTCGCCATCAAGGAGGCCATTGCAGCTGCTCGCGAAGATGAGGGTCTGAGTGGAGACTTCCCTCTGGAGGCTCCTGCCACCTCAGCTCGCATTCGAATGGCCTGTCAGGATAAATTCACCAACTTGGTAGGTTTTTTTCCCCTAGAAAAGTTTGAAATAGGAAGAACAGTTAATTATAAATTTTGTTAAATTTTTGTAGGTTGAAATACCCGAAGCAGGAACATTTACTCCATGGAACATTGTGCCTTAAAAAGTGTTTGTATAGTTATTAATGTACCAAGAATTTTGTAATGTAAATGTATTCTTGTACCAAATAAGTGTTTAAAATAAATATAGATAATTAAAATGTAACTTTTAATATTTTTAAAAGTTTTTCTTTCCGCATTATTAACTATTTATCATAAAAAATTTGGTATAATAAAAATAATTTAATAAAATAACATGTTTACATGTTTTTAAATAAATGTTATTAAATATTTGACATGACATTTATTTTGTGGTCCTGAGGGGAAAATAAATAACTCTAAACAAACAAAGTCCAACCCTTCCATATGTGAGCACAATTTGTTGCTTGTAAACAATGCCATTTTATCTGTATGACCATTAAAACGAGAAAGTAATTACATAGAATGAGCGATAGCTTATCTCTGCGTGATTTATTATGTTTGCAAATAAACCTTTGGCGATAAATCGATTCAGGGAAAATAGCATTTACATGTATGTTAGATACACGCCCAACATTAAAGAACTTAATAATTTTAGCATACACACTTTTTCCATTTTAGTCATCCGAAAATTATCAAGCTGTAATATCCGCTTTCTATATATTTTCTAGACGAAACCTTTTCCGGTTTCTAATACCTTCCGGGTATAATTTCATTTAAAAACCCCTTTTTGACTAGATAAAAAAGTCGCGACGATCCAAATTTCTGATATGAAAATTGGCAACGGATACTGATTATATGCTGATATCTTTCACGCCCTTTAAGGTCTTTAAAAAATATCTATCCTCTAATGCCAAGGTCCATAAACTGTCTGAATCTCAACAGAAGATAAGGTGCAAATCAAAAAGAAATATCAGATAGCTACACAGTTACAGCGACACTATCTACGGCTATAAAAGAGGCTTGTACAACTTTCTCAAAATGAATTCTAATGATGACTGGCCAAACACTTGAATAAAAGTGTTTGCTTTGGCGGTGCGAATTTAATTTTCATAATGACTTGCCCAAAACAGAATAGTGGTCATAAAAAAAGATTCATTTTGATGGCATGGTGCCAGACAGCTTTCTCGCCGGCCAAAGTCCAAGTGGCCAAAGGTGGAAGCTATGACGAAAAGCCAGCATTTTGTTTGGTCATAAATTTGTGTTTATTGTGTTACCATAACATTTAGATCCACGCAAATCGGGCACATACCTTTGTTCACTGACACATCACATATGGGATGAAATATACTAACTATATACATACGGTATTCTCTATCTAGCCATCTACTTAAGTAATTTCCTAATCAATCCTCGAAAGAATCTCACGCTTCCTTCAGAAACTGTTTGATGTGGGGCGCCACTCGTTCCGGGGTGACCAAGTGAAGATGATGAGTGCCGGGCACCTCGACGTACACAACTTTCTCGGCATTTTCCCGCAGCGCAGCAATCACATCCGCATAGACCTGTGGCGTCTCGAACTTCATGCCGGGAGTTCCCCGAATGTTGAGCACCTGGCAGCGAATCTGACGGGCATAGGCCAACGTCTGCTCGGCGGTAAACATGCCCAGCAGGCTGACCTTCAGCCGCAGATCCCTCGCAAACAGATAGCCATCCTTGCTGGGATTGTGCCGCATGCCGCGGTTCATCAGCACGCGCACGGAGGGCTCGTCCACGGAGCCATCGTAGGCGTCCAGCACCAGTTTGATCATCTCGTCGTACGAATAGCACGGCTGCTTGCTCTCCGGCAGCGATTCGTAGTCCAGGAACTTGTCGAGTGCCTTGCCTGTCCCCAAAGCCATTCGCTCAGTGCCGCGCACCGTGGGACCCGCAATGTCGATGTTGATCAGCTTGTTCACCTCTGTGGGAAAGCTGGCCGCATACATGAAGGTAAGAGCTCCTCCCAGCGAATGACCCAGCAGGCTGACGTTCTTCCAATTGTACTTGCGCACTATGCGACGGATGAGGCAAATGCCATCCCAGAAGATGAAGTACTGCATGCCCTGCGGGTAGTGCGAGGACTTGCCGTGGCCTGGAAGATCGATGGCCAGGATGGATGTGTCCGCCGGCAGCAGCGGGCACAGCCTGTCGAAGCTGCCGCAGTTGTCCTGCCATCCGTGCAGCGCGATGATGGGCTGCTGCTCCTTGGAACCCCACCATTTGCCTGAAAAAAGGGGAAAATCGATTAGAACACTGGGAGGAAAATTACCAAAACTCAAATTTTGTCAATATAAAATTTTTCATAAATCAAAAAAAAATTATTAACGAACTTTCATAAGTTTAACATTCAAGAAAAAATGGTTTTGAGCTTTAACTAACTTTAATTTAACTAAAATAAAACCTTTTATCTTTTTTAAATATTATTATCCAACATATGGAACGAATTCTTTTAAATAGGGTGACTTTTTCTTATAGTGTTACTCAAAGTTAAGTAATGATAAAGTTCTTTTACAATAAAAATTGAATTCCACTGAAACTATCAAGGGATTTTAGTATAGTATCATTAACAATGATAAGGTACTTAAAAAAAAATTATAAATATTTTTTAACTTACATTTCCTATGAGTTTTGGAACTCTATTGCAACTATTGTTAAATAATTATCCCTTATTTAACAATAGTTGCAATAGAGTTCCAAAACATCTAGTAAAAAATTAGGAAATATTGTTGAATTTTTTTCTAGTTTTGGAATTCTACTACAACTATTTAAATAGTTTTTCTTTCTGTGTGACTGCGTCACAACAAAAATCACGTCAGTTTCTCATGAATGGGCCGATGCTGGTGATAAGGAAGCAGGCGTCCGGATGACTCACCCTCAACGGTGCCCCATGGAACCTCGATGGAGAACTCCTCCCAGCTGTCCTCGCCCAGCAGCAGTTGCTCCTCCTCCTGGCCATCTGGAAAAAGAGGAAACCATCGGTTAATGAAGCTTTCATTAATTAAAACCCAGCTGTGACGAAACCAAGTCTGGTGAAATCGCATGCAAGCCAGGTGAGACGCAACCAGACCACCGGAGACTTCGGACTCAGGTGCGAAATGTGTGCGAATCGGTGACCTGACCATGACCTTCTCCTCCTCCTCCTCCGGTTTGCTTTACTCACTCGTTTCTGGGGAAAGTGTCGCCGCCGAAGATTGCGATGGTGTTGTTGTGGCTACGCGTGTCTGGCCCATGTTTGTCTGGTGGTGCGGAAATGGGGTTTACGGATTACGGAGCAACTTGCTTTGGGGGAATCGTGCGAGCGACTAAACTTAAAACATAAACCAAATCCCTCCCCAAGTTTCCCCCGATCCAGGTGACTAAAGTCGATTACCGATAGGTCTAAGCTCAACAGAGCTGACAGGGTGGCGGGAAAAAGCTAGATAACAAACTATAGTTATGAGATACATAAAAATAAATGGTAAAATTATTTAAAACGAAACATCAATTTGATATGATAACTTTAATAAAATTAATACATTTTTCCAAAGAAAGGTTTTGATTACAATAAAGTTTTTGATTAAAAATCAAATACAATACTCTGATTAAAGTTTTTGATAAACATTTAAATAAAATGATCAGAAAAGAACCTATGAAATTTAATAAAAAAATATAGAACGTAAGATATGAAGCCACATGGTTAAAATTACTTAAGAAATATTCAGTGTGTTCTTCAAATTTTAAAAATATTTAAATTTAGCTAGAAAAAAGCAGCTTTGCCATTTCAGCTACGAGCACTGTTCATGCTTTAACAAGGTGGCAACTCTACACATTGTTTATATTTACAATTGCATGCAATTTTATATTCTTTCTCCTAAATTACCGAATTTAGCTAGCAAATCAACATGTAAGTTTAAATAACATTATACACACTTCCAGCTAAAACATTTATAATTAAAAATCCCCCTAGGACGGAGTTCTGGAAATCCAACGAGCGCAAATTCTGCGACTTTTGTAAATGCTGGCTGAGCGACAACAAGGCGGTGAGTTGATGAATCCATGAATTTAAGTACTTTAACGACCCCCAATCCCCTAGAGCGTCGCCTTCCACGAGAGCGGCAAGCGGCACAAGCTGAATGTGGCCAAGAGGATCACGGACATCAGTCGCAGCAGCGAGAAGGCGGAGCGGGAGCGCCAGAAAATGGACGCGGATATCCGGAAAATGGAGGAGGCTGCCATGAAGTCGTATGCCCAGGATGTCCATTCGCGTGGCGACATGACGGCCAGGTCGATCAACACGGTGATGAGGGCCACGGCCTCCTCATCCGCCTCCTCTTCTTCAGGAGGAGTAGCCCCTGGAAGATCCCGCCAAATAGATCCCATGCGCTTGGAGGGACTCTCCGATGAGGAGGAGGACCAAAGGCGCGTGGCTCCCGGCAAGGTGGCCTCGGAGGCGGCCGCTCCGGAGGCTTCCCTCTGGGTGGAGGGCAAGTCGGACGAGGGACACACCTACTACTGGAACGTCAAGACCAACGAGTCCGTTTGGAAGCCCCCCAAGGAGGGCTATCTGTCCTACGAGGAGTACGAGCGCATCAATCAACTGGCCATCGATCAGCAGGAGATCTCCCAGGCCCAGGAATCCCTCAAATTCCGGGCTAACGCGGATGAGGAGGTTGCGCGGGTGAATCGCGAGAAGATGAAGGTCTTTCGCAAACCCGACAATCTGAAAGAGAAGAAGCAAAAGGAGGAGCGAAGGCAGACGTTCAAAACGGAGGAGGAGGCGGCCACCAAGGAGATTGGACAGTGGCAGACAGTGGTGGTCAAGTAGGGCTAGGATATACCAGACTTAAGTGGGTTATATCTTAATAATATTTTTCTTTATAGAGCACCTGACGAACCTATTGACTGGCAGCTGCCCCAAACGGATTATTATAGTGCCGCTCCCGTGATTTCGGCTCCCAGTGAACCCGAACCGCCGGCCAAGCGGTTCAAGGAGAAGACCATAGGCGGTCTGGATGCGGAGACGGCCGCCAGTGCACCTGCCACGTTCAAAAGGAAGTTCATCAAGAAGGGAAATAGCCGCCAACGCGTCGATGATTAGGTACTTCATTGTACCTAAATGATATCTACTAGATTATAAAGTTAGGTATAAAAAAGTAATAACGCTTATGCATGTAATAGTGTATCTGTAGCTCAATTTACAAGATACATTTTGTTATGAATTTAAGAACAATTATTATATCCCCATGGACTTATCCATTAATTTTAAATATTATCGTCACTTGAAAGTTGTAATTTTAGATTTTAAATTTTAGATAACTATAAATTCAGATGTGTTTATATTCAAATTACAACGTCTGTCCTTTTTTGAAATTTAATAATTTAAATATAAAATAATTTTTACAAGTTCATCCTATCCACTAATTTGAAAAATCGTCACTTGAAAGTTGTAAAAATAAAAATGGATTACCATAAAGCTTTTATTTCTGATTTCTTTTAATGCACATTTTAAATAACTATATTTTTCGATGTGATTACATTCAAATTAAAAATTGTTTCTTTTTTTTAAATTTAATATTTTAAATATAAAATATTTTTAAAAAAATTATCTTATCGATTATTTCGATATAAGAATCGGTTTGTGTCTCTGCTCACAGCGTGCATTTTTAGGTCGTCCAATTTTAGTGCATTTCTAGCAAACAACCTGTGGTTTCTTTCGCCCTCCCACCAACGGTCACTCTGCTGTTGTTGTTGTAGGCGAGCGGTTGAAATTTGCGTCGGAATTCCGTTGAATCGAATCTCGAATCGCGCTATTTTCTTGCGCGTTGTGTTGTGTTTGGTTTCGTTTTTCGTTTCGCTGCTCGCAGTTCGTTCTCCATTCGTTTTTTGTAATTCCGCGCTGCAAGCAAACACGAAGAATAAGAGGAAGAAGGGGAAGCAGCAAAAGTGGCGAGTGCAATCGCAGCGTCGAAATTTCAATTGAAATCTGTGTGTAGCAATTTCAGCGGCATTCGCTGTAAATAAATTGAATTAAAGCAAAAATCTGCAGCCTGACCTGACACAAAAAAGAAGTTCGCCAAATCGAAGAAGTGAGAAAGTAAACAATAACAAAGGGAATCGAAAAAAAGTGGTTTTCGATAGATTACAGCACACGCACACACCTGTGATTTTGAGTGTCCAAGTGTTGTGTGTGTGTGAGTGTGAGGCGAAGGAGAGGAAAGGTCAAGCCGAAAATTGCGTAAAGAAAGGGGGAAGAGAAGAGGCGAAAAGAGAGAGCGGAAAGAGAGTTACGTCAGTTACAAAAAAAACGATAAACAATTTCCGATTTCTCAAATCGATCGAGGATATCTAGGATAAACCGCAAGCGATAACCAATATAGCAAATTCCATTCCGATACACAATATCGATACTGAGATTAACGTCAAATTCGATTAAGCGATAAGCAAAATCCGATACTCGATAACGATTTTTTGTTAAAAATAAGAAAAATCAGGCAAGATTCAGTTCGTGTACGCTTACAACAGCTCCGCGCCCCACGCCGCCTCCTCCTTCCGCTCCGCCGTCGCCCCCTTTGCGCCCTACACGGCCGAGCGGACCACCACCCACCACCACCCACTCCCACACCCCATCCCTGACCCCCAGGATCGCCTGCCCTCGGACACCGAGCAGCTAGCGGGCACGGATCAGGAGCAGGAAGAGGAGGAATCCGAGGAGGAGCGCGCAGGTAGCGGACCCTCCGTCAAGCCGCTCATCGCGACAACAACAATAGTACCGGAAGCGGTACAAAAGCAGCAAGCGACGACCCAAGGAGCAACAGAGACGGCGACAATGGCGGTGGTGCGAAAGAAACAGGATGACAAGTACCTGCTCGCCCTGCGGGAACTGGTGGCCAGCGGTTCGGGGGGCAATCGGCAGTGCTTCGACTGCGGGCAAAAGGGACCGACCTATGTGAACATGACCATCGGATCCTTTGTCTGCACCCGCTGCTCCGGAGTCCTGTAAGTATCCGCCTTTCATTTTGAGCTCTATTACAATCTGTAGTTCTGGGAAATTGACATTTTCCGCATTAGTCGCCTGGTAGGGTGGTCTACATTCTAAAAATTCCATTTCAATAGTAACTAGACACATCATATGAGATTTATTTCGAAGTATTTTATGGAGTTTTTTTGTTCTTGAATAACAGTTTACCTAATATTCTTTCGAGTTTTTAAAAGAATCGTATAGAAATGGTATGATACAAATATGTTATCTATTAAAGTAACATTTTTAAAAATTTTTTAATCGAAATATATAATTTTTTAAATGAATATTTCCCTTGACACTCATTTTGTGTTTTTAATGACATTCAGTGGAATTTATATTTATGCCTATCAATAATTCTGGCTTCCTCATTTGATAATTGCCAAATGGTCTCTACCCCCGGGGAATTTCACTTTATGCCTCTAGATTTCAACCAAATCAAGTGTCTCGTAAAATATATACGATCTAAAAATAGAGTTGGAAATTCAGAAATATCACCATCCTCGATCCCTCTGGACCTTTCTTCTGCTCTGGCCCCTTATCTTCACTGAAACCCAGGCAATTTGAACTCGCTTGACGTTAATTTTCGATCAGTTCGCCGAGTGGAGTGACCGATAATTTCCACTCGATGCGATGCAATGTCCGATCCCGTCTCCCCATTATTATTTTGTGTGAAAGCGAAAGCAATTCCCCCGAACGAACGAACAATTTCGAACAATTTCGCACAATTTGGTTTCCTTTCCTTTTCGAAATGCAAATCGAAGACAAAACTTTCAATTGCGCGACATCGCGCCAAACGACGAAATTGTTTTGTCTTCGCCGGCGGCGCTTTCTATTCGTGTTTTCTGTGTTTTTTCTAGTGACAGTTTGGAGGGTCGTCGCCGCCCACCTGGCGGTTGAGTTGTGGGTGTCCTTGGCGACCCTCATTCCCCGACTTTTTCCAACCCCCTTCTGAAGTAATTTGCCAAATTGGCTTTGATTTGTGCGCACTATAACTAAATTGGGGTCATATATTACCACTCCTCCACTCGCTGCATTTTATTTGATTTACGCATTTCCGGATCAAGCACATTACATGATTACTCTTAAACTTCCGCCTGGCCCAGGTCCAAAAATCCGAACCTAACCCCCAGTCTCCCACGAAACTGTGCCCCAGATTTTCGTGTACTCTCAATTGGACAGCATGCGGGCTCCTCCATTGAGTTATCTCTATCATCGAAACCAGGTTGCAAAGTGGCCAACTGCAATGCATTCTGCTTTCTGTAATCCCCCCACCAGCTCCTCCTTCGATGACTCATTCTTCGGTCCTCCATCCTCAGTACTCAAGCCTCGTCGCCAACTGCCAAGGGAAACAAATGTTGGCATGTAAATGAAAAGCCGCATAAATGCTGGGGACACAAAACGATTGCACTGGGAGAAATGATTAAAATGATTTTAAAACATAATTGGGATCAACGATTAGTCCTTCGAGCCGGATACTGAATAATTTTTTAGAAAACAGCTCATAGTAAGCTTAAATATAATAAGAGTTTCTACTTTTTGATTTGGCTATAGGGTTCTCAAAGAATTATCAAAAAGTTAACCCATGGTCCTTCCAGCCGGATAATCTAAATTAAAATTTTGGTAAAAATTCATACAATTTCTATAAGTTCAAGCTTAGTCTCGAACTATTTTCTCCCTGTGTAGCAGAAGGGGTGTGTGCAAAGGTACTGCAGCATAATAGGGGACTCGACTAAGGAGGAAGGGGCGTGGCAGGGGCGACAGCAGGCGACAACGAACTTCCTGGCTGGCAAAACGAGACTGGAACTTCGACTTGCGACTGCGGTGCAACTGCAACACTGCGACAAGGGTGTGCAGGGAATACCAAATGAAACCGACTCCGTGAAAGAAATGGCTGTGCATGTTTAGCCCGCCTTTGGATATTGGAATCCGCTGCAGACCGGCCGGCCACTTGGAGCGAAGTTTTTTAATGGAAGAAGCGGTTCAGGAATGAGAATGGGAGTGGGTTTTCAGAACCCGTCCAACAGCTTTTGCTCCCGGGCACTCACACACTCGAATGTATTTTTGTTGGTTGTTTGTTGAGCCTCAAATTGCAGACAAATTGTTGCACCTCAATCAAGCAGCAGTCGCCGCCATCTGCTGGTCTTTACTTTTTGGATCTCTTGGATCTTTTTTTCATGCCAAAGCCAAGGCAGAGTTCAAAGCTTGTGCTGCTGGCTCATAAAAGTCAAGAAACTTGTTGATTAGATAAGGCGAAAGCAAACGAGCATTGGGAGCAAAGCACACGCAGCACACAGCAATGGTGAGCCACTTTCTCAGGCTTCGTCATCATTCCCACCGCACACAGAGCACAGCAATGGCCATTTAAATATGAAGTTACCGGCTTAATAAGTAGTGTATTATTCAATTATTAAATAACTGAGCAATGTGAATCAGTGCGAGTTCAAGTGAAAAATGCAAAAAAAAACCCATAAAGTTGATTTCTCTATTCGCTGGAACACAAATGTTTATTAGTTTACTAGCTGTGAAATTATTCTACTTGCCATGGAATTTCTCCTAATCGTATTGATGTTTCAACTAGGTTTCTTTTTAATTTAACAAAATAAACAATAGTCATTTTGTTTGTTTTCCAAAAGGTTGTTTACTATTTGCGGTCATAAAATATGCGTTTCCTGTTTTTAAACCGATTACATATTACATATGTGAATTCCTAATCTCCAAATTGTTTAACTTTCAAAACAAGTCAGTCTACTTCCTTCAAGCTTATAATCTTTACGATGTGCGATATTCTGGATTATTTCATACTAAATGTGACTCATCCTTCTTATATATTTTTGCCGAGATATGACTTCTAAAATCCATTAAAAGTGTTTTTTATTTCTTGACTGCAACAGTTTGACTGTCTTTATGTTTCTTAGCTATTTCTGTGTCCCAGGTTGTATGTTTGCAGTCGGTTCTGGGTTGTTTGTGAGCTTCTATCTGTCGGAGAGTCGATGGCTATAGCTATAGGTACACCGATAAAAACTTTATATGATATATGATGATTAAAGAAAAATCCAAATTTGAAACTCCGGACCTCTTCTTTAATTTACATTTAGTAGTGGATTTGAACCCCGGACACCCTCTTTAATTAAAATTTTGTAGTGGATTTGAACCCCCGGACCTACTCTTAATTTACATTTTGTAGTGGATTTGAACCCCAGATCTCCTCTTTAATTTAAATTTAGTAGAGGATTTGAGCCTCCGGACCTCCTTTTCCTTTAAGTTTCCCTAGCATAATTCCCATTTTCAATATAAAGTTATCATACCTAACTATTTATTAAAATTGATATTTACTTTTTCTCTGTATATTTTCTGTGTACCTTTACAGTCATGTTGTTAGGTACATGCGTCAGCGGGCAAGTGAACTGTGGAGCGGACCCCTCCCGGTTTCCGATCCCCGTTCCAAGTTCCCCGATCCCCACTTCGCTTTGGCATTGCAGTTGCAGTCGAACTGGGCCAACTGCCTTCGAGTGGAGCTCACAAAAAGCTCAGAGCACGTCTTTCTCTCTTTATTTTTGTTTTTTTTTCTGGTTAGTTTGGCCTGTTCTGCGGCTCATATGTAAATTTCCGATTATGAAACAGCATAAACATGTCTGCATTTGACAGCCCCGAAAAAAAGGGGGGCAGCCGAGTGGAGGGGACGGGGCACACTTTCACCATGCGGTGTCAGCTGTGTGGCCCCTTTATTTTTGCCTCTCTATCCGCCGAAAAAAAAACTTATAAAAAAAACTAAAAAAGCCAAGACAACAAACGAACAAACTAAAGGAAAAGCAACCAAAAGGCAAAAGCGTAAGAGCAATTAAATATAAATAACAAGAGGCCAAATGTGTGTGTTTCTGTTCGCTGTACAGCACTCCCATTTATGTATTCTGTCTTTACACTTAAGTATTCAAAATGCAAAATGTTTTCCACACGGAGGAAAAAAAGGTAATTGAACACGGAGAAAATATATGTCATCTATTGTATCTTAAAGTAACATTATTAAACACTACTTGGCATATTAAAAATATATTTTTAGCAAAAAGATTATAATACCATTTTAAGAATGGTATAATTTATAATTATATGTGAGCGAAAAACTATTCAAAATTAGTTTTTAATAATAATATTTCATAAGTTTTTACATTTTTATTCCCAACTATTTTTTTTAGGCTGATCGTACCGTTTTTTCAGGGGTATATTTTATTAGTGGGGTTGAATAATATTTAAGTTGAAAAGAAATGATTTAATTCTTGATCAACGTGATAAGATAATGACGGCATTCAAATTAAAAAGCGTTGAAAACCCAAATTAATGACATTAGATACATTTTGTGGATAAAACTGGATATTTTTCGGATTTTAATTTCACTGTATTCGCTTTGATTTGAGTTCCTCGAATCAAAGCGAGTGGAATTGAATTGAATCCGCTCCTAACTCGTTTAGCATTTGAGGAAATGTTTGTGAATCGCTTATGAGTTTCGAAGGAAGAGGAAGAGAAGACCAGGGTTTAATAGAGATAGGAATATAAAGAGAGATGGAAATAGGGGTGGTGGGGGTGACCCGGCAATTATTGCGCAGTTTTGATTCAAAGGCGAACACAAACACTCTCAGAAGGTGTCGTTGTTGTAATTGCTGTCGGTTCCTTTGTTTCGCCGCTGTTGTTGGTGCTTCCACCACCCCTCTTTACCACCCCTTAACCCCCCTTCGACTACTCCTCTGTTTGTTTTGGCGCTCGCCTTGAAATAGAGATTTCAATTCTATTAATAATGCAGAGGCGCAAACGCCAAGCGATTTGGCTCTCGATTCTGAATTCTCAATTCTCAGATGTGAGTGCAATTCAAATGCGGAAATATGTGGGTGAGGATTTGAATTGGGCAAAGGGGGAGGTGCTCCAGTTTGGCCCACGAGGCGCCATTCCCTCCCTCCAGAAAAATGAAATCAAACAGCTGGAGAGA